ACAAGACAGTGTGAATCCCGATTCCCATCTTTGATGGTATCTTTTTATGGTTCACTTAGCCACAACATAATAATAAATCGATCTTTGAGATGCTGTGTAAGTCACATTCACATGAATGTTAGCAACAGTTGTACAACTAGGGTTGCATCATCATCATCATCATACCCGCGTATTTATTTCAGTACTCACTCTCTCTCTCTCACACACACACACAAACCTGGCCTCGAACTCTGAGTGGTGACATAGTCTCACACACACACATGGCACCAAAGCAAACCAAAAGGGGTTGTAGTAGTAGTAGTAGTAGGTCTCTCTGGTTGATGAGTTGGTGGCACACAAAGGACACACACACCCATTTGAAATGACATCAACATCTTTCCCTCAAAGGGTCGTATCTGACAGCTGAGTCAATATTCTCCTCTCCCCACTCATTCTTCTCTCTATTCATTCCTATCCTATTCCTATCTATCTATCTATCTATTAATTATTTGGGTTAAACAGGGAATAACTGTGTTTGGAATTGGAGCGTAATCAAAAGGAGAGGGTGACAAATAATGTGACACGGTTGGTGCACTGGTTAATAAATAGCATTAGCCATTAGGTGTGTGAGTGAGTGTCACGATCATGTGCGAGAGGGTGTTGAAATGAGTAATTAAGAGCCCACACATCGTACATGTATTATGAAGAACTGCAAAATCGGACACACACAGACACCAAAAGCATGTCTGTGTCACATGCCTCAGGCAGCCCTATGCGTTAATTACCTCACTCCTGCACGTGAACAAACCCATTAGAAGCGTGGGAGAGACCCAAACAAATCTCCATCACCCCATTCTCATCAAACTCAACAACTTTTGATCTTCTCTCCACAGTATTCTTCCAAATTTCTGCTAAATTGTCTAATCTTTCTCAAATCATCTATCTAATCCACCCTCGTCTAAATTAATTTCAGTTCATCACTGTTGTTATGATGTAACTCTACATCTTACTTTGCCTACATTCATGTTCTTGTCCATCTACTCAGGGTGCGAATTCAAGATAAAACCACTTTTATTTTGTCCATACAAGGACGCTGATGTTGAGAAATTAATTTTGATAATGTGTTTTAAGTGGGACAGTTTCATGAAGAAAATTAATTATCGTATATGTTCTCTTCTCCTGGTTTTTGGGATAAATAATTATTGTTGAGTGTTCTAGAAAAAGTGGATGGCGGCTGTTGAAGAAAGATACCTTCAAGATGCAGCCTTTTCAAATCAGTATATGCCCTGTATTCGGATCATCGTATTTTGTAGGACTTTTTTTCTGTCATTAAGTTGTTTGCATTTTCTATTCTTTTCTTCGATTTCTAAGTGGATAAAATACCTTTTTCCCTTTTAATTAAATATATATTTAAATATAAATAATTTCACGCTTATTCACACATCAGTAACGATTTATGTAAGTTGAGACAATTTTTTTTATACAAAATTAATATTTTTTTATACTTATAAAAATAAAAATGTCATTATACAAAAATAATTTTACATCACTAAAAAATATATTATTATATATTTTATCGGTCAATCATTTTCGTTACTCAAAATATAAAAAATTATCCATATGTTTCACAATAAAAAATTTCAATTCTCACAATTTATCGATTCGTTAAAATTTTTAATAGAAATACTATGTGTTATATATATATAAGTAAAATCAGGTCAAAATATGTCGTGCAGTTAAACCAACAAATATTGTTATGTCTTTTACGATAACTATTATAAAAGTTAACCAAAGTTTCATTGATAATAGATTTAACACACTAAAATTTTTATATTAATTTTTATATCTAATATTATTATATTATTAAATATAGTTGCAAATGAGTTTAAGGTTTGAATGTTAGTTGGAAAAGATGTTTTCATACACTATTTCATCTTATTCAAACAAAAAAAATATCGCAAGAGAAAATAACCATGTAGATTACAACATTTGTGGATGATGTTTAAAGGATGAAGTGCAAACACAAATCCTTATAAATGTTTTGTAATGTTGTGGTTTGTTAATATATATTAATATGATTTGTGTTTTCTCTATCATATCTAGATATTCTATGTTTTTTTTAAGTCTTTTAACACCATCATGAAAATAGAAAAGTGGAGAAAAATAAAAAAATATAAATAAGATGAGAGTTCTGTTATAATGTTATAATTTATATTAGTATTTAGTCTTTATTAAATATATGATATTTATAAATTTATTTTTATTTTTTTCATATTTTTTTTATCTTTGTTTATTAATAATATATTATTTAATTAGATTAAAAAATAATAATAAAGATCCCCGTTTAACAAACCATATAATCAAATTCTATACATTATAAATTGTGATTCAGTATTATGTAGAAGATGATGATGGAATGGTCCAATACACATGGATGGAAAAGCATAAGAATGGATGATGAAAGGAAAAGATTTGCAGGTAAGAGTTGAGATGGGAACGATGATGATAAAGATAAAGAGAAAGAAAATGATGTGGATAGACACTATTATTTAAGAAAGATAAGATAAAATGATATCCAACTATTCATACTTCTCTCTACTTTCCACCGTTACTTTGCCAAAACAACCATCAATGGTCAATTTATATCCTCAACTTTCAAATAAATCACTTCTGCCACACAAACCCTTTTTCACAAGAGACTTTAATTATTAACCAATAATAGTTTAACTTATTTTCATATATATTAATAATCTATGTTTACAAAAATTTATTATTTTTTGTTTTATAAGAAAATAAAAAATAGAATTTTTAATTAATGTATGTATGAATTATTTTTTCTATAAATCATCTTCTATATTGTCTTACGAAAATTTTAATTTCATTTGTATTTGTATATCTTATTAAAGCTCTCTTGATGAACATGATATGATATAATAAACTAAAAAAATGAGTTATGTAGATAACAGTACGATCAGCTATAATTCTATGTTTTTTTTACATAAAATATAAGATTAAATAATGTTTAAATTATATATTATATTAAAATTATATAAAAAATTTACTTTTTATTTACATTCTGTCACATAATTATGGAAATTATAAAAATATATTTTATTTATATAATTACTTTTATATTATAAAAAATTATATAAGACTCTAAAATTATAACTACTGTTTTTGAGTTAATTAATAAATACTTAATTTTAATTAATTAATAATATAAATGAAATGTATGCTCACAATTACTATGAATAAAATACATATAAGATAGTATGTTAAATAAAACTTGTTATAGATATACTATTGTATAGATTACAATTCAAAAAATTATATTATTTATACAGCTACTTATAAATAAATTATATAAATTTTTTGTTCAATTAATATTATATTTAAATATTTTTCTTCGAAAATCGCTACTTTTAATTTATCTCATGTCGTAAACTATAAGTTAATAAAATTTTAAGTATTGTTGAATGATTAATAAATAAAGTGTTACTATTATTGTTGTATGCATATTAAGATGTGTTTGAAAACACTGTTACTTTTACGGTGTTGTTTGGTTGTGATGGAATGAATAATGAAAAATGATTTAATAGTAACACAGTGATAAGTTGAAAAACCAAAAAGCGATTGACATGAACCTCACAAGCAGTTGAATGAAAAGGAAAAAGGAAAAAAAGAAAGAAAAAAAAAAGTAGAAATTATAAAGAGTTATGGAAGAAGACAAAAGTGCTTAAGGTGTGTACGATTAATTGCCCGATTGTGATAGATGTCATTATTTTGTATCTTATTAAAGATGAGTCCAGTCACTAAATTGTTGCATGCTTTTTCCACTAACAAACAATTTTTTTCCCAATCTTACTTCACTTGGAAATATATTTTGCTGCCTTCATTTTTGTAAAAACATCACTATAATTAAACACTATCTCACTTTGTTTCTACCCAAAAACAAATTCAAATATCCTCACTCACTTTTTTTTTTTTTTTAATTGGACCCATAAATATTTTAGTTGGATGTTACGAGAAAAGATTGGATGATGAATGTGGATTATTGGTAAAAGAAAAAAAAATGTTGTTAATAAAAAGTTTAAAATATCATCTCAAATTGAATATATTTTTATTTTTTAAAATAAATAAATTATAACCAATGTATGAGTGGGATATTCTTCTATATGCTTTTCTTGGTACCCAACTTTTTGTGTGAATGATATATTGTGACAATGAGTGGTGGTTATATTTTATGGATTTGTGAAGAGTGGAAGAAGAAATTGGCAAAAGGGGGGGTTTAATTAATTTTTGTTGTGTTTGTTGTATGCATTTGTAGGATTGAATTGGGCTTTACCCCACCTTGTATTTTTGTGTTTTATAGCTACTCGTTGATTGATGGCATGAAAATTAAGAAGGGAATCTAGAGACCACAGTTGATAATGATATTTTCTAGCACCAAGGATAATTTTTGCTCACCAAAACCTCACCACAACACCAATCAAATAAACAATTTAATGCATCAATTCTCTCCATATTAATTACTAGTGCCTCTTGTACCACAACAAACACCACTTCTTCTCTTCCCTCCAATTACTCAAAGTACAATTTCACAACAATTAAGAGACATTTTTCTTCTTCTCTTTTTTCATTCCAAAATCCCATACAATGTGACTCTTAGTGAGTGATGGTAATTTCTAAAACATTTTTTTATTTGTAACAAATTTATAATATTATCCCTTAAATCATCTTGAGAAGGCTTAAACAAGTAATCAATTATAATTTTATATACTTTAGAAAACTACATATAATGGTCCTTTTTGTACTTTCACATAAAAAGAGATCTTTCATGTTACTATGTGTTAGTTTGTTATTAATTATAGAGAATTGCAGAAACATGTACGTAACAGTAACTGTGTCTTATGTAAAATTTGATGTTTGAAAAATTGTAGGTATATATATTTATGTTAGAAAAATATAATAAAAAAAGAAGAAGAATAAGAGAATAATGAATAGTTGATAGATTTATTGATTTAATGGAAAGAAAAGGCGAGGGTAGGAGGGTAATTTGAGAAGGAGGGTATAGAATAGTAAAAGGGGAAATAATGAGAAGAGAGAGGGGCAAAGTTGCGAGAGGAAAAAATGAAAGAACTTTTGGTCCATGATTCATGATCATCGTCATCGTGCGTATCTAAAACATCTTCAAATCTATCTTTGACCGTCGTACTCTCTCTCTCATCATCACCCTTCGCCTTTTCGCCGCTGTTGCAGACTCTGCTCAAAACCAACAAGACACAGCCACCACACACACATACACACAGAGAGACGCTTTCACTCACTCCTTCACCCACCACATCCCCTAGAGAGAAAATAATATAATATCTCCATTTTGCCCCTCTGCCTTTCTCTCACCCACACCCCAAACACATCTCTATAAATATTATAATTTCTCCATTCATTAGCATAGCAGCAGAAAGAGAAACAACTCTCACACTTATCTTCTTCTTCCTCTCATTCCATTCATCATTCATTACTCTGATCCCACGGCTGCGATCTTCTCGTTTCTCCAATCGTACGGCCAGGGGTCCTTTGTCTGCCCAACTCACACCTTCTCAACTTTCTCTCTCTACGTAAGTATCTCTCTCTCTCTCTCTCTCTCTCTCTCTCTCTGTCATTCCTCTCTCTATGCAACAACGCAACAAAGCCTTTATTATAACCTGCTTTTTCGCTCTCTGTATGTATAACCTCTTTTTCGTTACGAATCATATCATATCCGCATAATATCTATCATCACTCGCACGCACACACGCACACACTCACACGCGCACTCCGCTATGCATTCTTTCTTGATTGTGCTTCGAATCTACTCCCTCTCCTGACATTCACTGTACCGTTTTTCCTTCTTTTCTCTCTTTATTCTTCCCTTTCCGTTTTTGCTTCCCTCAATTCTTCGATTTTTTTTCAAAAGTTGATTTTTTTCGGCCCACCCACTTCGCCCTTGTTCCACTGGATTCCGGGTTCGATTGGTTTCGTTGTTACATGCATCTATACCGGGTTGAATTACGCGTTGCCGTAATGGGTTTTGCTTCTTCTGCCAGATTTAGATCCATCGTGGCTGTGTAACCGCCTTTGGTAATTTGCTTGGATTAAGAATTTGAATGCTTTTCTAAGGTTTACGACGCAATGCGTTTAAAATTAATGAGTGCTTTCTATTCTTTATTATAATTTGTAGTAACAAGCTTTTTGCTTCAACGAAATGTGGTGTTCGCACTTGATGGGATCCGTTAATTACTCAGTTTGATTCTTTGTATGTGTATGCATGTGGTGTCATGTGTGTTAATATGCTGATGGGTAGTACTGTGTTCAAGATATTGGTGAGTTCTGTTATATACAGTAGAATTTGTGATGGACTGTTGGGCTGTCAATCAATGATTTTTCTCAGACACAAAAAAAGCACATTGAATTCTGTACCGGATACTACTTTGAGTTACAAATTTGGGGCTTGTTGTGAATTAAGTGGATTTGCGTGAGAGTGTTTAGTTCGGCCTTTAATTTTGAACCCTAAGATGGTTTTGTTATGCATAAGTTACTTTTGTTTGACTTGCTGGCTATGCATTTAATACTCCAACCATAAATTATATTAACCTTGGGTCCGCTGCAATAGAGAAATTATGTCCTGTGATTTTAGTTTTTTGAAAAGACTTATGGTTGCATGTTTTCATGGAGCTGTCTTGCTTAATCGTCTTAGAGTTTGTGATTATTATGCATGTGTGGAATTTTTACTGAGAGACAATGACATATGTAGACTCTTCTTATCTGTTGTTTGCTTAATATATAATATATATCTCATCTCACTGAAATGCAATTACACACGGATATTTAGCACTAATCTTGTTAATGCTCCATTTGTTATACAATTATGGACAATGAAATGTTTGGTTTGTTATTATATATGATGCCGTTATATTGTTTCCATCTGCCGGATTTTTAACGAATTAATGAATTTTTTGTGACCATTTGTTGTATTGTGTGCTTTCCACTTTCCGGGAGTGGTCTTTTGAGGTGCATAGAACATGGGTCCTATTTGTCATAACACCTGTAAATTATCTATTTCTTTGATTTTGATTGTAGTTTGAGAGTATAGCTCTGGAACACCGAATATGGAGTCCAACGGTCATGCAAGAGTAAAGAGAAATGATATCATTAAAGAAAATGGTAGTTCTCATTTGTCAAATGTAGAGGATGAACATGATCCATGGACAGCATGGGCATACAAGCCTCGCACCATCACATTGTTACTTATTGGTGCTTGCTTTCTTATGTGAGTGTCTATCTGGATAAATTAATGCTAACGAGTGGTGTATTTTTATCTACTTGGAAATTTGTCCTTGAATAAAATCAAATTTCTTTCTCCATACGTAATTTTTTTCTACCACTGTTGTATATGCCAGTTGGGCAAGTGGAGCACTTGATCCAGAAAGAGACGCATCTGGTGATCTTGTTACTTCTGTTAAAAGGTTTGGTATTTTTAGTTTAACTAGTTATCATTTCACTTTGCTTATCATTTTGCCGTGTACTAAATATGCCAAGTGCCGGCAAACCTGTTTCTCTGTAGGGGTGTATGGGCAATGATTGCTGTTTTTCTTGCTTATTGCCTGCTGCAAGCTCCTTCTACGTGAGTAATCAGATTGAATTTATTTTGTTTAGTTTGGTATTTTCCATATACATGTTGCTTTTAGACGTGTGTATTAGTCTTACTGCTTTTTTCCTTTTATCAAATTAAATTTAATTGTCTGCTATATTTATTGAATTTAGATTTAGATCCCAAACGAGTATTTAAATTTATGAGTTTATGTTAAGAGAATAATGCAACCGCTTCATACTCAAGATCACTATCTTAGAACAATAGGAATAAGCCAAGTTATTTGAGATAATCAAGATATTATTCAAGATTGGATGGTCGCTGCTACTTTACTTACTGGGAAGAAAAGTTAGTGGAAGACGCTTCTGTTCAAAATTGGGGTTAGCGAGAGTGTGTGGAAGGGATATATGGAACTGCATGAAGATAACTGGGAAGCCAAGGTGTTTATTTTTGTTTGATGGACACTCTTTAATATAATCTTGCTTAATATGGCTTTGCTAAGTTATGAATATGTAAGTTTTGTTCAGCTGAAGAAGTTATAGTAAATTTTATCAAGACTATTGCCTGAATAATTATTTTCCCACTTTCTTTCAGGGTTCTTATTCGTCCACATCCTGCAATTTGGCGCTTGGTTCATGGGATGGCTGTCGTTTATCTTGTTGCCCTCACATTTTTACTTTTTCAGGTTGGTTTCCAGGTCTGAATTTAACATTCTCGTTGTATAAAGTTTATGTAATTTTGTCAAGCTTAAATTTATAGTTTTGAAAACGAAACTTCGCACCAGATTCTTGCTTACTTTTTGGATTTGCATCTGTTAGCTTCCTCTAACATCATCTGTGTCTTCTCTTGCATAATAATATTTGTCATTTGTTACTCTGTTTCCAGCAAGTTAATGAAGGTGGACTAACATGTATTCTCAATTTTTGTCACCACAGAAGCGTGATGATGCTCGACAGTTTATGAAGTTTCTTCATCCTGACCTTGGTGTTGGTAAGACAATCCAATTCTTTTTTTAGCTTTGAACTAGTTGGAATTAATTCATTATTTATTTTGTGTTGTATTTGAGATTTTAAAACATTTTCGGGTAGTCATGGATCAGCCTGTTTCCTTTAGTTTAAAAAATTGTAATTACTATGGGTTGATCTTGGCAGAACTTCCAGAAAGATCTTATGGCGCCGACTGTCGTATATATCTGCCTGAAAACCCTTCAAGCAGGTTTAAGAATGTTTATGTATGATTTCTTTCACAACCTTTGATTTTCCATATCTCTCCTAAAGGTAGTTTATACCTTTCTTTATCATATTTGGACCTTACACGGGGCTTGTATCATGTTTCATATCTCAGGAGACACTTTTTGATGAGTTTGTTCTAGCTCATGTTATTGGATGGTGGGGTAAGGCAATATTGATTCGCAATCAGCCTCTTCTTTGGGTGTTGTCGATTGGTTTTGAGTTGGTGGAGGTAAAGCCCTGATACTTATCTGATTAATACACTCTTTTTATTTTTATTTATATATATTTTTTGAGATAGGTCTGGTTGTGGGTTTGTGCCTCCATAAAGCTTTGACTTTTTTGTTGTGTTAACGTAACTATATCTTCTGGATTTCTTACAAAACTTTCTGTGTTGGTATTTTCAGTTTACTTTTCGTCACATGTTGCCAAATTTCAACGAGTGCTGGTGGGACAGTATTATTCTTGACATCTTGATCTGCAATTGGTTCGGTAAGAGTTTTGGATCTACTTTTTTATATCTTTTTGGCAAGTTTCGAAGATTGCATATGGTGATTAACTAGTTAAAGAATGAACTTATTTATGGTATCACCATGACTACAGATTGCATCACTTATTTAATCTGAAATAGTGTGTCAACAAAATAAAGATTGATCTTAGAAACATGACAGACCCTTAAATGTCGAAAACTTGTAGGATTCTAACATCTGTGAATGCATCTTTACCTTTTCAAGCTTAAAGGTATACGAAAACGTCTTACCACGATTTCACATGCCTTTACTGGAAATTCATTTTCCAATTCCTTTAAATCTTCATTTTGCCTATCAGTTGTTTTTATTTCTCAACAATTTTTTCATGATTCTGGTGGTATTGAATAAACTCTTGCATCGAATTAATGGTTTTTTGGATATGAAATTGTTTCAGATGATTGTAACATGTCTTGGTTTAATTAAAGTGCAGGAATTTGGGCAGGAATGCATACTGTTAGATACTTCGATGGGAAAACATACAAATGGGTCGGTCTCAGCCAGCAGCCTAATATAATTGGAAAAGTATGTTTATCTGTCATCAGCTATTCCATTATGCTTGAATCTTTGATTCCTATTGAAATTGAAATCTCTCTAACTAACTTGAAATGTATCTTTGCTTTGCCTACTGGAGCAATAGCCAATTGCCTGTTGCTCTGACAGATGTTTTAACCAAATTGTCTTTCTTTAATCCTATGTTACTTGATATTAGGTGAAACGAACATTAGGTCAATTCACACCGGCTCAGTGGGACAAAGACGAGTGGCATCCACTGCTTGGTCCATGGCGTTTCATTCAAGTGCTTAGTCTTTGCATTGTATTTTTGACAGTAGAGCTCAACACATTCTTTTTGAAGTTTTGTCTCTGGATACCTCCTCGAAATTCAGTTGTTATATATAGGTTGATTTTGTGGTGGCTACTTGCAATTCCAACAATTCGCGAGTACAATTCATACCTTCAAGACAGGTACACTTATATATATTTTCTATTCATATACATTGTCTATATCCTAACGAGCTTTTGATATTTTATGTTCCATATATTGTGAATTTTTCAGAAAGCCAGTGAAGAAGGTTGGAGCATATTGTTGGCTCTCTCTTGCCATCTGCATTGTGGAACTTCTGATTTGCATTAAGTTTGGACACGGTAAACCTTGGGTTGTGTGTGATTTATTGGTTAGTATTGATTATTGTTCAATAAATTTCACTGATTACGTCCATGGTGATTGTGTTTCCACAGGGTTGTACCCTAAACCAATGCCTATATGGCTGGTAGTATTCTGGTCGAGTGTTGGAGTGAGCATTGTTACATTTTTGCTTTTGTGGTCTTGGCAAATCCATCGCAGTCTAGGGAACAAGAAGAGGCGATAATTTTACTACTATTGCAGTCGTCAGCAGTTGCAATGCATTATTCTTTGATTGATTCCTTCCTCATTTTTATGGATACCAATCCATAGCCATACACATGGTGTAAATACTATCATCAACCTCATAATTAAATTGTAAATGAATGAATATTAATTCTCCTAGCTTAGTGTAGTGGATCGGTTTCTTTGGGCGGCAAATATTAGCAGCTGGTAGAGAGGTGTACTTGTTATTTATGAGGCTTGCTTTTTTAATAGGTTTTCACCATTGGTAAATTGGCCAATTTCTTCCCTTCCATCGGAATTAATCCTTCTGAAACGTGTGTATCCAGTCATTTTAATGAAATTTCTAGTGAAGAATGCTTTTGCTTCAACGATTGTGTCTAAATGTTAGCATAATGTTCTTCCAGATTTACAATACCATCATGTTTAGAGTATCGACTTTCATCTGAACTATGGAGCAAACTTTTGCAATATCACTAATATCTCAGATTTAATATTTTATTATATGATATAAGTGAATGTATGGAATCTGAAACTACTTTCACAAAAAAGGAGACAATAAAAATCGTTTCACTTTAATCGTACAGAGATTAAAAAGAATCACAGGTAGAAAGAATACAGTGCTTGATATATGGTTACGTAATAATGCATGCACTGAAGCATGTTGGTGTGTACGTAATAATGCGTTCTGAATTCTACCGGAGGAGGCCATTCAAAATAAAGAGAGCATAAGGAAATATTTAAATTTTAACGTAAGTATACAAAACTTTATTTAAGGGTATATGTTTGTTAACTATTTAAAAAGATGTTTTTCTTATATCGAAAAGTTTTATTAAAAATTAAGCAAAAAAATTTGGATTAAAATGCTCAATTACCATTTTATTTTTCCTGTTTTACCTGTCCTATTGACCATGATAGCTATTTAAAATAAAAGAGGAAAAACACCTTATTGGAAAGGTGCTTTGGACAATTTTTATGTGGGGTTATTCTCCACTGTTTCATGTTTACTTTTGATGTCGCTCCCACTGTTGCTTTTTCAAGATCAAACCTATGAGGGAGATGCTCTTTCATTATTTAGTGAGATACACTTTTACTTCAATTTTGTTGGAAACCATTTTTTATTTTATTTTAAATCATATAGTTACATGTATTTTACAATTTGATACAACTAATCACATTTTATATTGATTTCATATATTAAATTAGTCACAACTTACACTTAATAGGAATTGTTACATGTATTTTTTTTTTTTTCTCAGAATCCTTCCTGGTTGTCTTTTTCCCATCATATCTCGTCTTCGTTTAGACCAAGAATTTCTTGGTGAGTACACCAGAGAGTATATGCCAACTTTTGTTCCTTCCGTCAACATATCTTACTAAGTCTAAGTGGAAAATGGTATTGTAACAATCTTCCTCTTCCATGCAGTCCTTCCTCTCACAATTTCGTCGTTTTGTTTCTCTCCTTTGATTTGTAGAAGGTGTGTATACCTCAATGAGCTCTGCTCAAGGCAAGTCAGCACTCCACCACCATTTAGAATATCTGCTGATAACCCATTCAGAAGATTTGTGCAGTAATCTGGTTCTACCACACCATCAAGTATTTCATCATCTTCAGGTTCACATAATGATTGAACTATATCTAAGCTTCCACACTCCCTTCTGTACTCTAGTGTGATACCAGATAATTGATGCCCCTCCAGAATTTGGTCTGGGATGGTCTATAAAAGCATTCAACAATAGAACTTTGAGATTAATTAGATTCATAATGCTCTATAAGTACTACTCAGTATTGACTATTGAGTTCATAAACCTTTGCATTTTACCTCTAACATCCATCTTACATACTTCACATTATTAACATGTTGGTTCATGTCCAAATCACTTCTCTTGGGCTGCAAAGTGGAGAGAGGCACAAAGTCAATGATTTGTACATTCTTAGTGCTGTGGCAGAGCCAGCAGTAATTAAAGTGTAACGCATAGAGTAAAGAGTAAATAGTATATATGTACTGAAAGTGAAAAGATTTTTTATGCTACTATCCAATTACAAATTGTTATATCTGGTAAATTTCTTGATTTCTATAATGAGTACTTTAAAAATCATATTATGATTTCTGATTGATTGACATATTTTAAAATTGACCGTACATAAATATTAAACTCAAATTACTTGCATATATACCTTCAAATCTGAATTCATGTATTTTGCCTCTTTATCCAATTTGACTATTTTTTCATGAGTATCTTCCTTTATTGCTTGCTTCTCTATAAACCAAGGTGCAACTTCTGCTCTCACCTCTTCTGGCATTTTGGAGAGACGCCTTGTTTTGCGGTTCATCATCACCCACGTGCTGTTTTATGGTTTATCTCAATCACCACACAGGTATAAAAGGTGGAAATTTTGAAAATTTTTAGAAACATTGTGCAAGCCATGCATACAGTACACAGTACATACCTTGTTGCACGTCCAAAAATGTGGCCTGTGGCTTTGCTTCTTATCAGCCAGTCCCGCCGCATTCCATTCTTGCCTGATGCTCCAACCCATGTGTCAATTTCAACTACCTCTCCCCTGACACATGTCGAATCCATCTTTTGTCAAGCAACTATATGCTAGTAAAACTAAAAATTCATTTCATCAAAATTGTTACAAGTCTTCAGAAAATATGCTCAGATTTTGGCCAGCCACTTTGTAACTTTATTAGAAGAGGTAGATATTTGTAGGTTTTTCTGCTGTCAAATGAGTACAGGACAAGAGTTCTTGAATAGGGAGAAAATTTCTAGGGAAACCTTCGACAAGTAGTACAACAGTTTTGACAAGAATTGTCTAAGGCGAGTTGAAAATTTTCGAAATTGATTAGTATATTCCGACTACAGAAAAATTATTAGAAGGGCACTAATGTACATTCACTTGTGTCCTTGTAATAGTCGTGATGGAAAGGGACTTTACCAGATGGGATAGTAATCAATCAGAACTTGCATTCTTGAGACAACCCAAATGAGATCGTTCCTCACCATTCCATGTGTAGCCCCAAACCCATCACTGAGCAGTCCAGACATCCAAACATGGTTTAATGCTGTTTCCTGCACATAAGATTGCATTTTGCAGCAAAACAATAAAGCCCTTGTGCTTTCTGTGCAGTGAAAACTTTGTTTAAATGATTATAACATATGTATTTACTCACCTGAAGAAGATTGAGGATGCTCTCAAGTGTGGCAGTTTTATCAGCTCCAACTTCATAGGACCTAATGACAACAGTCTGTCTATAACCAACTCCACCTTCAATGATGAGCCCTTGACGATGAGGATCAACCAACTGCTTCTTTGTTGGGATGTTTTGGCGCAGACCATTTTCACCAATTGTAACGGCTTGACCAAGAGTGGTGGTAGAAGTTGAAACTGTTTGGCTTAGTGTCTCGACTTTAACTGGGGACCTAAAACTCCCATTAGTTCTGATGCCGGTCACTTGCTGCTTAAGTTGGTCATGGTTTTCTCTCATGTAACAAGACCTTACAAAGTAGGTAGAGGCTGGACATGACAAAGTGGCAACCATTGTTCTCAAGTTGTTCCTCGCAGTACCTTAGTAGGAGAGAGGTTGGAAGAGAAAAATGGGTACTAAAACTTTTTTATAGTTTAACTTCAGACGGGGTTAACAAAGTAAGGCTTGGATCTCTGAGAGACAAGTAAGTGAACCTAGTGAATCAACTGACATATCAAAGAGAATTTGGTGTTTGCTGCGGAAGTAACTTTTAGTTGTCCCATCTGAGAAGGGAAACGTCCTAGTTCTGATCGATATGGTAAAGTAGACAAAAACATGATTAGTTTATGTCATACAATTTTATGAGTTTATGAAAACAGCAATTTAGTTAATACTCTACTAAAATAACGTCAGCCTTCATAATGTAAATCTAAAATCTTATATAAAACAATATTAAATGAAAACTGAACATTTTTTTGAGTCTAGGACTTTAAGAATTGGTGAGTTATAGATGTAGTGTTTAGTATTACTGTATTACATAAAAGAGGAAAAAAGCATACGCCACCTCTAGAAGTTGACATCAGCCAATAAGAGAATGAATTCAGAGTCCCTTTTGTTGAAAAGTATACTGTCGTCTAGGTTTTCCATGGTAGTGTATGCTACTAGTATTGTAATGAGAAGTTTTAATAAAAAAGAAATAAATGTTACTTCCAAGGAGAAAAGTTGAAGTCAGGGAAGTTCTGATTGAAAAATCATGAATTCCTTAGAATATTGCGTGGAAGAAACCGAACTTTCTTGGAATTACTATGTCTTCTTCTGTTGGTCGTTAGGAATATTGAAGATTATGTATGACAAGAAGAAGGATAAAATGAAGCCAACTGAGAATTTGTTGAGGCTTTTCACTGATGACTGATGCCAACTTTGTAGGTTGTGCTTAGAAGTCATTTATTATTGTTTGCTCTGTTCTCATGCTTTACAGTTTCAGCAATAAATGCATTACTATTGCTTTGCTTCACTTTTGGAGGCTTAAGGAAATGATTTAATTCAGTTATATTAATTTGCATGTTTCAAAATTTCCCCGCATGAACCAAATTTTCCGGCTTCAAATTTTTAACTCAATGCGAGTGTAGCTGCTTTTTTACAGATCCCTCTCCAGTCCACTTTAATTATGTTTATGTGTGTGGGTGGGAGTGATGTTGAATTAAATGTGAGTGTGGCGTGAAACTAGAAAGCTCATTGTGTTTTAGATCATTTTATTTGTATTAAATAAAGTGATGTACTTATTTTTATAAAATTTTATATTACAACTATTATTTTAAAAACTGCTATTTCAAATTTTAAATATTACAATAAAGAACATAAATTTTTGATTTTTTTTTATATTTTGAGTATTGAATATTTTTGTTATTATTCGCTTCTATTAAGATAATACTTTCTTTACTTTTTATCTCCCTTTTAAAAAAAATTCTTCAATTAATTTTTTATTCAAAATATTTACAAGTTAAAAAATGTAAACATTCTCGTTATGTAATTGTCAAATTTATTGTACAAAATAATATTATTCTTTTCCATTTATCCCATTCTAAATATTCTATAGAGGATGCTATCCCTTGAATTAAAGCATACAAAGTCTAAAGCCGAATTTGTACACAGCATTCAACAACAAATTAATATTCATGTCTTATTTTATCTCCCCCTCTTCGATTATTAGTGAACAGTGGACACAACACAATAAACCTGGTGTTTAAAGTCAAATTTGAATGCTTTTTATTGCAATTTTTGCATAACATAGGTATTAAATTTGTTTTCATTTACAGTTATTCTTTCTCTTCTAAATTTTGTCTATTATTATTATTATTATTATTATTATTATTATTATTATTATTATTATTATTATTATTGTTGTTGTTCCAGCAACAGAAAAATTAAAAATTATTTAAAAAAAATTATACTTCAAAATAATTTATAAGTTTATTTTGAATAATAATTTAATTTATATTTGAATAAAGTAAATATTTTTAGTATATTTTAAATTATTTTAAACTAAGATAAATATTTTAAAATTCATAAATATTTTATTTAATTAATTAGATAATATATTTTTATGACAAATATTATAAACATTAATATTTTTGATAACTAATTTTATTTTTTATATTGAATAAACTATTGGATTGTCATTTACATAATTTTACATTAATTAATAAACTATTATTAATAATTTTTAAAATATTTATCTCAATTTTAATTTAAAATTTATTCAAGATTTTATTTATTTAAAATACATGTTTTTATTTGAATATGGACTAAATTATATTATTATTTAAAGTAAATCTTTAAATATAATTTAAAGTATTTTTCAATTAATTTTAGTTTACTTCTAAGGAAATATTAAAGAAAGAAATGAAATAATAAATAAATAAATAAATAATGGAAAAGAGATAAAAAAAGTGTTATATGAAACAGTATAAATTGTTAAATTTTAAGTGAGTGTATAAATATAATAAATCCCCATATCATAATCACTCTTCAATGAAATAATACTTCTAAATTTAATAAATGTAAAAGAGGCACAGATACTTCCAACTTAGAAGTATCCTCAAATATTTGCTGCATTTATGTGATAATTTATTTAATATGTATTTTTCAATTTCATAATAACCTTTTTTAAAATCTTTTGAAGTAATTATTTTAAAACAACAAAAATTTTACATTTAAAAAATATTCTAAAAATGGATGAAACGTGTGTACTTTTAAAGATAAATAAATTTTAAATTTAAAAAAAATATATAAAACGGATGAAGTACTACATGGTTAATCTTAAGAGCCGAACAGCCCCAAAGTAGTTCAAGTACATAAGCAGATATAGCAAGACAATTACTTTTAGTTCATTAAACACTCTTTTGAATAGATTACTGCAATAAGGGTCATCATATGTTTTTGAAATATTGAAATCTCCATTGTACAAAATTATACAGACTTCCGACTATGAACGTATGTACAACTATCTAATTTTCAGCGTTGGAAATATGCTCAAATATTTTCAGCAGTTTTTAATTTATTTACAATGTAATTTTATACTTTTTTATACTAAGTCAAAATTAAACTAATAATTAAGAAAAAATAATCTTAATATACTAAAAATATACAAAAATCTTACAGCTATGTATAGTTATATTGTTTAATGTATTTGACATTGACAAAATTTCCATAAACACTCATTTAGTAAGGTGTTAATGCAATGCTGAAAGAAATAGGTGTTAATACATGAATAGATGATAATATATAACAATCTTACAATAATCTTATATCAGTATGTTGGAATGTAGAAGCAAGTGTAGTGTGATAAGCACAAGTCGATTTACTGGGGTGTTTTCATGATTTGTAATTAATTGATTTACTGTAGTGACGTACATCCGGATTTTAACCTATAGCAAATTGAAATATGTTTGATCAGAAGAAATGAATCAAATAAATTAATTTCCATGTACATATATTAATAATCACGACCAAGTGTAGACAAAACAAGAGAGACGTATTATCATTTATAAACAGGCTGAATTTATCAGAATTTGGAACCTTACCACACAGTGTAACATGAAGCACGAACAGACATGTCCCTCAAGTGGTTTTAGCCTTCACGATCCATTAACTTTAGAAGGTAAGCCTGCCAAAAAACAAGCAATTTGATAAGTATTTTGTTTTCTCAAAATATTCTTTTATCGTGTATGTAAGGAACTAAGCTCTCATAGGTGAAGCTCTAAAGTGGAGACTCCTGCCAACAATTTTTTCTCCCAAGCATACACATGAATCTCGAAAGATCATGCTTAAGAGATGCAACCCATTTACTTTCAACGAAATCCACGCCATTCTTATTTCTCAATCTGGCACATAATAAATATACAGGTGAGCTAATTCAGTCAGTTAACTTACAGGGCATGAATTATACGCTCTAAGTCCCTGATATAGTTCAGCAGATGAAATTAAAAGCTTCACAGGTCGAAATTCAATAGACAAACTCTGTCCTCTATTGTCTGTGAAGCATATCATCTCACGATGCATAAGGTGTTCAAATGCCTGCATACACAAGGTAAAAATACCATCAAATAAGTCTGGGGTTGGGGGTAAACGGTAGGAAACATACCATAACCATCATTTGCTGTAAATTACACATTTGGCTTGAAAAAAATCACAAAAGCAGATTAACACACCCTTAAGCAGACATTTCTCGAATAATATTCAGAAGTCCGGAAGGAGTCATGCATACTTTTATACTCTGCAAAATATGATAGTCACATCAAGGAATAATATATAAAAGTGAAAGAAAAACAACAAATACTACCTTTCATTACAGAATTGAAGTTGCATAAACTTTGCTCTTTAACTTCCAATCTCTTCATGCAAACCAAAATATGAAGTTCTAAATTGGAACAATCTGCTTGCAAGTTGCAGTTGTAACCAAATAGCCATTAGCTCAAGACCCATTAAATGGAACAGTTTATAAATTATCTAAAATTGCCATACTTCTTAAACATTCCAGTTTAGGTTGCCTCTGGATACTTGAAAATGCAATTTCAAAGTTCTCCTGACACAGGAACCCAGTCTGCAAATCCATGTGAGAGACTGCACAGAATCTGGAAAATAATAAAATTTTGCGTAAGTGTGGAGTATACTCTATAGGACATTCAACAGCTAACATAAGTATGAAACAAATACTTACAGGAACCTCAGCAAATGTTTGACACAGGAATCAACATTTAAATATCTTTCGAGGGTTTCTTTGAACTTTCTATCTTCTATAATATTCTGTAATTTGTCAAGGATTTCTTAATCAGGTAGACAAGAGTGAATTTTCATTAATCAAGAAAATACGTAACTGTGAATTTTCCGCACATAACAGTTTTTGTAGATGTGAAGTAGCTGTTTTCGATGAAATCAGTTTACTCGCAGAAACACAAATGCAGCTAATGGCAATGCAATGAATGGAAAAGGTTTGGACAATAGTTCGTTCTGCAAAGCTCGTTAACTTAAATATAAGTATGAATATTAAAATATGGACAAACATGTCAACATATGTGCAGTATGAATTTATGGGTTAGCATTCAGTAATCAAGTCTCCGTTATTGCAGCATATGCTAGTAGACATGTGAATTCTTGTGCTTTGGAAATATTTAAATTAATATGGGTGGCACTCCTGTTTGTTCTGAAGGCCAAATAATAAACTAGAATCGACATAAAAAAGCTACCGCCATAAAAAAGGATACTTGGACCTTACTGTTAAACTCAACAGCATAATCATGTGGAAAGCTTGAATCGATTGGTAATGTCAGCATATGCATCAGTAACCTACATAAGTCAAGCACTGCGTTTAACATCATCTTCAGCATATCTCGGTCTAAAGGAAATTACAATCCACCTACTTCTGCGAATCTTCCATTGAAGGTGGTAAGAACAAAAGCTTTCTATGTGAAAACCGAGATCGTACTCTTTTCTCCAACAATTGATCTGCATCCTGCAAGGTGGACATCTTGATTTGTAAAAGTAATCTTATGTTCTACAACAACATGCTATGATAGATTATTTTCTCAAAATTTACACAAGCAAAACAAAGTGGAAAATACTTAATCCAATAACAATAATTTGTAATACATATATAACATCAATTTAAATGTTTTATTATTTTCATCAATCGCATGAAGAAATTCAGACATGACTGACTATTCACAACTACTCAAAAGTTTATAAAAGAAAAAGGAAATAACTTCAAAGCACATACCAGACGGCAGCTAATGCCAAGTACAACAGCCTGTGATGCTATTGATTGCATTGCATCTAGCAAGCTATAAAGTAATCGCTGTTTACCCTGCAAAGAATCAGGATGGAGGCATAGCAAATGTATGATTAAAAAGTTATACCAAAATATTACAGTAACCAGACCACAATTAGGATTACTTAATAGAGTAAGAAGTTGAAAATAACTACAATTATAACCCAGAATTTAAACCACAATGAGAAATGATCAAATGGAAAAAGAAAAAGAAGTCTTACCTGAGCAAACAGGTCAAACTCATCCAGAACAAAAATTACTGTTTTATGTGCTAATCCGCATTCCCTAGAAAACAAAGATAATAAATGCTTTAGACCTTCAAATTAATTTCCTTTTTCAACCACGGAAACTTCACTTACTTTAGAATGGCAACCATAAACTGGGAGTTGTCATCAAATGATGCCTGCAGAATGTTCATATCAAGATAAAAAAAATCAACGTACCATAATTATAAAAGCATACTATGAATTTTGTATAGGTAGGTTATGTTACCGCTTTTGAGAATAGCAATTGATGCTCCATGCATAACTGCCTAGCTATCTCCTGTTTCATCATTGTTTGCAACAACAAATGAGACACCAAACAAGAACGAACAGGTACAGTGCAACCTAAATCTACGCGTTCAAACAATCTTGGCTTTATTGATATGTTTAGTAGAGAAGAAAGAAATAAAAGGAGATGAAGTGAAAAAGAAAAGTGCAGAGAAATATATGAGAAATAAAATAGATATAGAGGTTGTCTGATTGAAAAAAAGTAGAGTGAAAATTAACCTTTTGAGATTATTTAATTTAAAAAATAGTTAAAATATTATTTATTTATTTTTGTTAATTTTTTTATTAATAATATATTTACTTATTATAATTATACTAAAAAATCAGGGATTTTGTAACAAAAAGAAGGAAAAAATAAGAGACAGCGTTCCATCTGGTGTTCTTCCGCCCATTTCTGCACTATTCTTCACTTTTTTAAGATGAAATGAACAGTGTTTGAATTTCTATCCGTTTACTCGTAGCTTCACTGCCAAAATCAACTCTCTTCCTCGCTGTTCACTATTTCCTCTTTTACGTCTGCACAATCAAACTGACTGTATGACAAGAATAGTAAATTCTATAGTATGCCTGACAAATCCTCATTGCTCTTGTATATCCAAAAATAGTCTGAGCTGCATTCTAACGCAAGCTTGGTCCATCACAATCCAATCCCTTTGAGAAATTAACAAGAGAAAGATTTACTCCTCATTTTTAACAGATATTCAGAAAGAACATTGTTACAGTTCCACAAGGAGAATCTACAACCTCCCTGCCTAACTCTCAGCGGAAGATTATCTCCCAATTAGTTGTCCCTCTCCGCAGTAAGACTAACTAGTTAATCGTAGAACCAAACTTCATGCCATCCCATGTGCCTACATCATTAAGTTGACTGGGGCCACAAACTAGCCATATAAGAAGCCATTGATTATAAACAAATCACAACTAAAAAACGTCACCTAAGTCATTGTCTGTAGTAAGTTAACATAAATAATTAGGAAAAACAATTCTAGAAAACATTTACACAAACAGAAATACAAATGGCAATAATAACGTCATAGCTGTTTAAATTACTAACAGTATAAGCAGGGTTTATGGCTAACCTTGAATGCAGAGATGTCATCACTGTGTAAAAGCCCATTCAACCTTATCTGCAACGAAAAATATAATTTAAGAGAACAAAAATACTTCCATTTCCATGAATTATGAATAGCATTATGTTTAATTGCTCATTCAGTTATATTTGCTGCACTTTTTGTTTTTCATTTTAGTCCGTCCACACATACACGTTTTAATCTGTTTTAGTCTTTGCCATTGACTAAAATGGATTACAAATGTATTTTAGTGACTAAAACGAGTTAAAAAGCGTACGTGTATCTAAAGCGAGTAATTTCTAAGTGTAGGAATGAAAAAGTTATGATTGTGCAGGTACAAGAACCAAATGACCAAGACTAATTAAACCATTTATTATTTGGAGGCAATGATTAATTACCACTGAAATCGAGTCTGGATACTCTTGCAGCAAATCTTGAATGACAAGTTCCAAAACCTAACAAAAGAAAACATATTAAAAATAAAATGAAGGAAACCCTTAAGCCGAGGTTGAGTTTGAGGTAAGTGATGAACACACCGCATTCTTTCCGGAGCCACGGGGACCGAGAAGCAGAATAGAATTGTTGCACGCCTCCGTCACCGAACTCGATATCATGAATTTCAGTTTGCTGATACGAGAAATCGGTTATGTGAGGTTACCTATTCGGATTTGATTGAATAACAAAGATAAACGTTAACTCTGTGAGAAGAAGTTCAAACCTGTAGTTACTGTCTGGATTATCGTTATTGAAGATGAATTTGGGGTCGCAGATTCTACTTCGAAGCACGTTCACTGCCTTCGTCTTGTGATTCTCTGGCTCCATTTCGCCGAAGATGCAACACAGTTGGCGGGAACAACAACCGCGCCTTTTTTTTTATAACGAGCGAAGATCTTGTGTTCTCTATCAAATGCGGCCTAATTCTTATGATGGGCTTCGTTCAAGCCTGGGTGATGGCCCAAAATAGTTTACCATACATGTCCTGTCTTTGTAAAAGTAATAAAAAAATAATTCTTTTTATAAATGTTAACATAATAAATTAACTTTTAGTTTATTAAGTATAGTAGCTTTATTATTTTCGTTTTCAATATCTAAAACAATGTAGAGAAGGATTAATCTTTTTAGTATGAAAGGAAAAAATATATAATTTATATTTATGTTATATTTATTATTTATTTTAATTATATATTTATTCAATTTTTAATATAAAATAATAAATAATTCCATTTCTTCTATACTTGCTTGATTATACTTTTTTTTAGTTTTTTGTGAAACGTTATCTCATTTTTATTTATATTTAATTATTTATAATTTTGAAAATTAATATTTATATTTTAAAATTAATATATATATATATATATATATATTAATTTTTAATAAAATTAAAAATTTCTGCTATTTCTGTGTAAATAAAATATATTGGATATCATTATGGTAGGTTTTGGTGTTATAAAAACTCAAAATTGGGTCTAATTTTTCCTTTTGTTGTTGACTAAAATAAAGTCTAAAATTTACTTGTCATCAGTAAAAGTTATCAATAACAGGGTAGTGGTTTGTGTGAGGAAGAAGAGCGTGCGAGTATAAAATATCAGGCGGCGCGGCCACATCATATAAGGTGAGCGAGCAAACAAATTCAAAGCAAATAGTATCCAACAAAACCAAAAGACGTCACGGCTCACCATGGGATTGGTAACCACCACCGTTCCCATGAACGTTGTTCCTCAATTTGGGTCGCTCCGAACATCCATTCGGGTCGGAAACTCCTCAGGCTTGAGCTTCCCTCAATCACGGTCACAGAAGAGGAATAAGAGCTTTGTTTGCTTCGCTGTGGATGACGACCTCAGACCGAAGCAACATGACTTGAGTACTACAGCTACTGGGTTGGGCTCCGCCCTTGAAGAAAGACCCGGTCAGTAACACCAAAACCTGCTTCATCGAATTCAGCAATTTCAATTCAATCTTATGGTTGTTTTATTCCTTATAAGTTGTTAGAAAATTTTAACTCTGCTGATTTGGATTCGTACTATTATTTTCCTTCTTATTTGTAGCATATATTAAACTTGTTCTCTATTTGCATATCGTTATCTATGTGCATGGTGCTTCATCTGGATGACATATAAAAATGTGGGATGCCTTGGTTGTATCAAGGTCAGTTTGGATAAACTTATCCTCAAACTTACAGTAGAAGAAAATAAGAAAATAAAAAATTCTTACATGAAATAATGTTAATTTGGATTAATGGAGAGCTACAGTCATGACCTATGTCTAATATTGTGCAAGTATGCAGCAAGGATAAATTGCAAATATGATTAGTATATATCGTTTTTTGCTGATATTATACTATTCAACTTGAATCATCCTAAATTGTTCTAATTTTTTTTTCCCGGGTTAAATGATGATCATGGTGATATGATTCCAAAGTGTAGTAGATATGGTTACGATTCTAAGATCATTCTTATGTCAGAAAACACAGATCTTTTTGAGAGTAAATCGGAAGAAATGCAAGGAAATTTTGAGCAAGATGGTGGACGAGGTGCTATATATGATTTTCTTTATCCTAGTAAAGAGCTTCTTCCTGATGATAAAGAAATGAGTATATTTGATCATCTTGAAGAGCTGCGGCAGAGAATCTTTGTATCAGTTTTAGCAGTTGGAGCTAGCATTTTAGGATGCTTCGCATTTTCAAAAGAACTGATAATGGTTCTGGAAGCTCCTGTTAAATCACAGGGTGTAAGATTTCTCCAGCTGGCTCCTGGTGAATTTTTCTTTACAACTTTAAAGGTGAGATTTCTTACATATATGATATATCTGAGAAGGTTGTTGCTTCCTTCCTTATCAAATGATCTGTGATATTTTATTTCTTGGTAGACATTTCATTAAAATTAAGCCAGTGTTTTATGTTGTTGCTCTTGCTTTATCAGGAATGTATAAAGCAGCCTTAGTTCTTATGTCTGCCTCATAACTAGTTCCCAGATAAGGTTAATGTCATACGATAATTGAAATATCTTTATTCTCATGTTGTTTTAACTCTAAGAGCGTAAATTATAATTCAAATAAGATCAATATTGAAATAAACTGTGATTTAGAAGATTGAGAACAATGGAAACAGTGTGTTCATTTCTACTTCATTGCATCAATTAATGAGATCTCCTGGGCACATGATGCGTTAGTATTCATGAGTGAATGTGATGGGTCGTTAGCTTAACCCCTCGAGAAGCCCAAGTGAGCAATTATTAAACCCTGTTGGGCCCAGGATCACTCCTTCAAGGCCCCCATTACCTATTACCCATTGAGGACGCTGACATTGTTTTGAGTTTGGAATGGTTATCCACCCCGCGATATATCAGTCAACTTTTCACCCCAAGTGATATGAACATCATTTACACAAGGACTGACTTAGGATCTTTAGGATTAGAACCTTATAGCCAATTTAGGAAATTAGTGAGAAGGTGATTTAGAAAGTGGTGAAAGTTTCAGGTTGACAGTATTTTTTAAATGTCGATATCTCAAAGCTATAAAACTCTGATTGAGGTGATTAAAAAACGAGGTGAAAATTCTTGTTCTAAATTTCAATTTAGGCTCAAAAAACACTCAATTTGGATGAGTAGAATGAAAATTATGGTGAAAAAAGGACAAGAAGTAAATGTGAAAGGTCGAAGGAAAGAATCATTTTTTCTAAGGGAAGCAACTCACAAAAGGTGTAAAAGTCCTTTAATACAGCCAAGAGTTCTTGAATCACTCAAAAACTACCGTAAAAGAGCTAAACTCTAATATTTCTGAATAAAACTCAACTTGTATTTTTTATAAAAATAGTTCAGCTTCTGTAGAAGCTTTTGCCATCAGAGTTGCAAAGTCCCAAAAGAAAATAAATGCTAATAATGATTCATTAATCTAGGAATTAAAAACTACTTAATAGAGGTAAATACATGCTAATAATGATCCATTAACCTAGGAATTGAAAACTACTTAATGATTGATTGTAACTGAAATTGTGGCAACCAAAATATGTACCCTCCTGGTCTTCCAAAGGCTGATGCCTAAGATTACAATTGGGGCCTTATTACAAAACCAAACTAAAGTCCTTTAATTGATTAACCCAAAACATAATTTGGTCGTTATTTAAACAAACTTAAAGACTGAAACAAAGTGACGCATTAGTCTTTCTCCATTTCGGCTATGATGCAATTCACAACTTTGGTCTTTTCACCTTGAAATATGAACTTGTATTCAAATAATATGGACAACATTTGTTGAAAAGCTTCTTTTGTTTCTCTTATTCTAGCCTTTGTTATAGGTCCTCCAAGTCCTTTAAGTGGTACCTTGCCCTTGTTCTAATCTTTGTCATAGGTCACTCCTTCAAGGCCCCCATTACCTATTACCCATTGAGGACGCTGACATTGTTTTGAGTTTGGAATGGTTATCCACCCTTGGCGATATATCAGTCAACTTTTCACCCCAAGCCTCAATTTTGCCAATGATCACGGACTTGACTTACTACCTTACGGCACCCTCCACCAACTATCTCCATTGCATCACTTCATTTCCTTACATTTCAACCCAATCATGTCCCCACAAACACCACTAGAAGTTCAAATGCTCCTCCTTTCATACCAACCCTATTTCAACAACCCCATGGCCTACCACCACAACCATGACCCCATGACATTCACCCAAACACTCTCCTAGTCAATGTCAAACCTTACTGCTACCCCCGCACCCAGATAGAAACCATTGCCTCCATTATACAATAAATACTGCATGAAGGCATCATCACCCCCAGTCACAGGCACATGGATATTCTTGAGTGAATGGCTAAAATCTATTTTGCGGATGTGTAACACTTTACTCATTTTTCTGTCATGATTATTTAGGTTTTTGGTGGGAGGCAGAAATTAGGTTTTAAAGAATTTCATTGGCTTGTAGATCCCATAAGCACATGGAGTGAATGTTCAAAGTCTGTTTTAAAGAATTCATGCCTGAATGGTCAAAGTCTGTTTTGTGTATTACCCACTTTACTCATTTTTCAAATGAAATTTTTGGGTGGTGGTAGAAATTAGTTGTTTAAGAATCTAAGAATTTGAATTAGGATCTACCTCCACACCACAACACTTACTTAAGATCTACCTCCACGCCTTGATATTAATATTTCTGCCACTCTGAATTGCAGGTGTCTGGATACTGTGGCCTTCTCTTGGGAAGTCCCATCATCCTCTATGAAATCATAGCCTTTATACTTCCAGGACTTACAAAAGCCGAAAGAAGATTTCTTGGGCCAATTGTTTTAGGCTCATCAGTTCTTTTCTATGCCGGAATAACTTTCTCCTACTTGGTTCTGACACCTGCAGCACTAAATTTCTTTGTTAACTACGCCGAAGGTGTTGTTGAATCATTATGGTCCATTGATCAATACTTTGAATTTGTTCTTGTGCTGATGTTCAGTACAGGTTTATCTTTCCAGGTAAAAATTTCTTCCTGAATTTTTTCTTTCTTTGATAATCTAGCTGACACCAACACTTTCCATGAGGCCATTGATCTGATTACATTTTGAAACATTTCTGCTTGGGTTCTATTTGGAGTTATGAACAATGTGGACATTCCAATAGCATGCCTGTGTTAAGTATTCGAAAGAAAGCCATGCTATGGTTATTAAGATGGCTATGGTCATTAAGATGAAGAATGCTCATAAGATAGTTTTTGCACAGACTCGATATGTAATCTATCATTCTTTCTGATTGTAATTTTGCATATATAGTTGTGCGTATGACGAGTGCTGGATGAAACAAGAACAAGAAGTAATTTTTAACTAAATGTCTACCTCCAAACTTTACTAGTTGTGGAACCTGAAGGAAGTCATATTGCAGGTACCTGTCATACAATTGCTATTGGGACAACTTGGACTGGTGTCCGGAGACCAGATGCTATCAATTTGGAGGTATGTTGTGGTTGGTGCAGTAGTGGCAGCTGCCATAGTTACGCCATCCACTGATCCTCTCACTCAAATTCTTCTAGCAGCACCTTTATTGGGTCTTTACTTAGGTGGCGCATGGATGGTCAAGCTTATTGGACGGTGACCTTAGTCCCGTCTTAATCTTGTTCCAGAATTTTCAGTCTGAGGAGATGTTCATGTACATTCACATAGCAATCTAGTGTATATTTTTACTCATACCAGAGCATCACTCTTCCTATATTTCAATTGATTTAAATTCTTAATTCTGTAATTAGTCAATTACAAAGTCCATCAGGTCGATTTTAAATTAAAAACTTGTTCTTTTTTTTCAAATTACAAATGAAAAAAAAAAGTATAATATAACCAAATACAGCTCTTCAAGTTGAATATGAAGCTTAAGTACGTGTCCAAAGAACGGGCCTTACAGTAAACTATCCATGTCTTTAAATAAAACGTGAAAACATGTGATTTGGAAACGAATATTACGTAAATCCAAACATAAGACATACCTGAACCCCAGTTGTTATTGAATTTATAACAATACTGAAATTTCAATTCTGTTTAATTGTAAGAGGGGATAGTATTCAGCAATCTTATTGACATCTGCGGTCGAACAGTGACATAAGTACACTGGTATATAAAATAAAATTGTAAATCCAAATGATCATTTTCACAAGTTCTACAACGTCAAATTCATTGAACACATATTCCACCATAAATAATAACTAATAAAGGACACTCTGGCTAATGTCAGAGATTACTTTCGGTTAATGTTATATTTTCTACTCCGGCTACAACAGTACTAGGATTACTTAGTTCAGATGCAAGGTCTCTCAGTGAACTCCTCAAGCCATTGCATGGCTCTATAAATACATCTGATGCGCCTAGAAGTTCTTCTACCTCCACTTGCAAAGCATCAATAATGCTGAGGATTTTCTCCGAAGCTGTCGTTATGGCAGGAATCTCTTGGGGGGGATAAAGGCAAGCTCCAATCTCATCAATCTGTCGACCAAGTTCCTTACACAATTGCAACAATTTCTCCATCGAATTTATAAAGCTGCTGTTGTCATTTGGTTTTTCCAGCTTAAGCAAGCCAATGATGGAGTGAATAAGGACTTTAATAACTGAAAGTGTATCCGAGACAACCTCAATGGCTCTTTCAGCCACTTTCATTTCTTCAGGCGACAAGTCATTGCCTATATCATCTTCACTTGAATTATCATCATTGGGCTCAGACGCTACTTCTGGGCAACTCTCACTATCGGATTTGCCAACTGGATCATCACATGAATCGGTTTTCAATTCTTTCATCTCACGAAGAACGTCCTTCACTGAAACAGCAATCTGTGTCATTCCTCTCCCAATTGCTGTAACATTTGTGGAAGGGGTCTTTTTAAGGGCAGAACATGCTTCCCATACAGCACCAACCAATTGTGGTACTGATAGTTTCAGGTCTTTACAATGGGACCCTGTTGTTGTTCATTAAAATGAGAAAAAATGGTGCCAACAGTCCAACAAGAGATTACAAAAATAATTTGATGATTAAAGTTTATTCATTAGAGCATGTTGTGCGCATTCCAAAACCAAAAGTATCCTTAATCAATGCATAATAACTAGAAGTATCCTGGGATTTTACTAAATCAAAATTTAATTTTAAATTAGATAATAAATTAATGAACTCAAATACACTCCCTAACACCATACTTGTGAAGGGAGAAAATCCCCATATATATCAAGCAAAATGTTAGGAATACATTCTTTGTCGCACACCTTTAAACACACGCTCTCATTAGTTTAAATTTAGTAGAAATCACAAAATTTGGTGGGTTTCATACCTTATTTAATGAATCTGATTTATAGTTTTGAATCTGATTTATCAACACCGTAGCTACCAGATCAACTAATGACATGATCCTCAACGTCCCAAAAGAAAAAGGGGATCAAAACTTCTGTGATGAAAACATAGTGTGATAGGAAGGACTTAAAAACACCTCTAACCAATAAAACTAAATATCCTAGCTAGCGTTTATCTCTTTCACTATCATCTAAGTTATGAAATTGAATCATCAGTCAGATTGCATGTTTTCTCCTTAACTCAATGCATAGTCTCCCATTCTACATTTCTGACATTGTGTATAAAACGCATGGTCTAGGGAGAAGCATGTTCTCATTCATATTGCTCAAATCTAGCTTTAGTTCATTCAACAAAAGTGCAGAATCACAGTGGAAAATATTATTATAACCGATCCACACATGTCACTAGTTATCATAGCATAGCACCAATTAGTAATCATCATACCATAAAAAGAGATTGTTTCCTTCATCAACCTGAAGCTGGAATCAACCACTTGCTTCACAGATGCATGAACCGCAGAAGACAGGGTAGGCCCCGCACCTACAGTACTACCATGGGAAAGCAAAAGAAAACCTTGTAGAGTGTTGAAGTATGATGCCATGTTTTCCTCAATTGCTTTGGACTCCGGCTGCTCCCCAGTCCAAAGCATTCCCACTGCAGAAAGGCAAGACACACTTAATCACACAAGTGATAAATCAAACAGAAAAAATTGGATGGTATCCTAATAGTGCCATTCTCAGTTAAAAAGGCAAGAAAAATAACATTGAAAATCTTTCTCGTTTCACAAATACCAGTCTAAATGATTTCATTAATTTATGAATAGCAGCAAGTGTTCAACACAATCCAATTCCTGGAAAACCCTGTGGGTGACGACCACACTGAAAATTAAATAATGATGGAGGGGAAAAGATTGAATTTTGGCAGTGATAGGATGCCAAATTGAAAACGGGCATTCGAGAGAAACAAAATTTAGTGAGCGATATTAAGAATGACTGACCTGTTGTTGCTTGTTTAGAAACGTGGTCACCCATCTTCATGACATCATCCCAGGTGACTTTGGTGGAAGAAGAAGGCGGTGTTTGGTCCAAAACCTAGAAGGCGTGGGTGAGAAAGATGTGGAGTGATTGTGATGGAAGAGTAGAGAGAAACAGAGAGGAGTGATGCAATTACCTGGAGGGTTTCATGGATAGTGGCGAGGTGGGAACCTAGGACTAAATTGAGATGCTCCTTCTCTTTCTTGGATCTTACAGCCATCTTCAACCCTCGCACTCTCCACAACTGCACACTGCGTTTCAACCAACAACAGCCGATTCAAGCTCTCTGCCAATTGACAATGGAGGTGACGGCGTTGGAGACAGTAAACTCGTTATTGAAGCTCCTAAGCCTGCGTGGCACTTCTTTATAAACCATCAAATTTAAAAAAAAAAAAAAAAAAAAAAAATAATATATATATATATATATATATATATATATATATATAATACATCTGAAAATATTTTATCATAAAAGATTTTTTTATATAAATAAAATAAAATATTTGCATAAATTATATTTTGAACTTCTAATCCAAAATTTAAATAGTTTTTTAAGGTTATTTTTAACTTATTTGACAAATATTTTAAAATATTGAAATAGAATTTAGATATACGAATTAAAGTAGGTAAAATTTAAAATATTAAGTGAAAAAAAATGAGTAGATAAAAAATACCTTAAGATTGTTGAAAATTAATTTTTTTTTGTTAGTTATCAAAAATAATTTGTGAAAAAAGTGTTTTAAGAACACATGTAACAAAATTTATTTTTATCTTTTATATTTTTAAAATACAAATATTTATTTAAATTTTAAATAAATACAGAAAAAGTTTTATACTATTACTATGCCAATCCTTTGAGATTCGATAAATTATTTTAGCACTAATCACTAACCAAAATTCTTAACAATAACTATAAAAAGTAAGAAGTTTGAAATGCACAACTTATTATTATATTTTCGGGTGAAATAAGATTTTGTTTCTTCCAAAATTGCTCACGTTGAATTTAATATCTTAAAAAAATGTATTATTTTATACCAATATTTAATAAATATATTAATATTGTTTTTACACTTACTCTATTACTTTAAAATTAATAATATTGATAGGTTAATTTTTTTATAAATGTAGAATGATTTCATGTCAAACACTTGTGGATCCAAAAGTAAAAAAAAAAAAATCCTATAAATAAAATACACATGTTTGTTAAATATTGGATATAAAAACTGTTATAATTATATATATATATATATATATATATATATATATATATTAATTCAATGCAGACCAATTTTTTAGGTGCTAAAAATTTATTTAACACATATTTAAAACTATGAAATTATTATGTAACTTGTGTGGGTAATAAACTAATATTAATCTACCTTATTTTGATAATAAATATAATAATAATAATAATAATAATAATAATAAAAATAGATATTTTTATACATCAGGATGTTAATGGCAATTGATGTGCTGCCCGTGAATTGATCCAATGCTTTTACATTAAGTAACTACGTTCGTCATAGAACCTTTTCCAAAATTGGCCAAAAGAAAAATTTTCCTCTCCTCTAAGTAACTAAAATTTGATCTTTTCTGCAAGCAAATACACTTGCTAAATTAATCCACCTTCAACAGAAAAACTACTCTGAAATATCCTTTCCCTTGCTTGAATTGCCTGCAATCACAGATATTCAGAAATGAGTTCAATTCGGATAGTACTTGGTAGCACATGCGTACTCTAAAATTCAAGGCAAATGTTCAAAACTGAATCTTAGTAAGGTTGCATTACAAGATTGGTTTATAATCTCTTGTAGTCAAGGAAAAGTTTAAACATAAATATATGTTCTCTAGTTTAAACTTAATATTCAAAAGGTTTAGTTTGATATGTGGGAAGCTATACAACGTTATGAACATGGTGTTTTTAGATTACCACATGCAAATACGCAAGACTTGGAACTGAAGTCAAACCTGTATTTCCCAGTTTGTACATCTTGTTGTGAGAGATAGCATTACTGTTTGACAGAAGGCACCAGTCAGTATTCCAATCCACAACCCTTTTCCTTTTAATTGTACCCAGAAACCCAATATGGCACCAATCGGAATTCCAAAAACATAATAGGCTCCAAGGTTTATATATGCTCCCAAGTGTTGCCACCCACATCCTCTAGCAATACCTGTAATGGACAAGTATTATATTTTATGGCACAAGTAACATTCCTTGCACAAAAAGAGTGATGTGCATTGAAAAATAGTTCAAACAAGAGCCAACCTGAAAGGGTGGCATGTAAGGAGTCCAGTATAACAGAAAGACTTAAGAGAGGAGCCATTTCTGTGACATAATCCACCACGTCCTGCTCGTTGCTAAATACATAACCTAAAACCTCCCTGCTTGCAAGAATGATTAAGCTCACGAGAATGGCCTCGGAGGCTGCAAGAGTCATGGCAGCATAAACTGATACTCGTGCTGATTGTGGATTTCCACCTCCTAATGCATTTGAAACTCTAGCGCTGAATAAACACCCAAAAGAGAAGCCAATCAGAAAGAGAGGAAAAAAATCCTCACTATATTATTACTGAATATGCAAAAAATGATGAACTTAGGACTTATGTAAATCAAAACCTTGCTGCTGAGCCAATTGATTCTGGGATTGTGTAGATTGTTGACATGATGTTTAAACTGGTCAGAAAAACAGTTGACAATAATTTAGCATCGCTCGTATGAATGGAAATCAATATTTGACCACGAGTAACAATTTCAACACAGATTTTAAGACACACGAAGCCATCCATCTGAAGGAGTAAGGTTAGTAGTACATACCATATGGATAATACTGAAGTTTCTAACTCTGAATTTGGTAGAAGTCCAGAAAGCAAGACTAATAGCTCAAATGACCACCATTCAAGACTGCAACGATCAAAATATATACATCAAACCGTGGGTGAAAATTGAGGAGAGAAAAGAACAACATTAAGATTGATATAAGAGGAAGAAACTCACCAAATCATTCCAGCTGAAGGAATGGCATAGCGGATGAATTCTCCAATCCCATGGAATAATTCTATTGAAATTGGGACTCGAGTCTTTTCACATTCGGGAGAGAATTTCATATATAATCCAAGTAAAATCACATTGAGCCAGTACGAAGTACCAATAGAAAAGGCAGCTCCTAAGTTACCAAGTCCGGATTTAAAAACCATTAACCAACTGAAAGCCACATGGAAGCTAACAGTAATGAAGGAACTTATGACAAGGGGACTGATCAAAGTTTGCATCAAAAAGAATCGAACCAAGGTCTGAAGTGCTGCATAAGCAAAGAGAGCAGGGATCATGCATAAAGCAAATTTCCCAGCTTCTAGTGAAACCAAAGGGTCTTGACCAAGTAAAATGAGCAGCTTCCCCAAGTTCATCCACAAAAGAGTCAGAGGAACACAAGCTAAAGTAAGGGAGACAATAGCAGTGTAAATTTGAACACCAAACTTTCTGTATTGCTTTGCTCCATACGCTTGCCCACATTGAGTTTCCAGTGCACATGACATTCCAAACTGTTTGACATGTTCAAAAGACAAAATGCAATTAATTCTCTGATCTCAAACATCCTTCAAACCAACTACCGAGTATCCTAACATGCATCCATTTCGATATCCTACAAGAGTAGAATATTAATAGTACAGCCAGAACATAAAAAACAGCATCTAACTTTTTCTTTTTAATAATTTTCCCTCCTTTAATAAACAAATGCTTAATATTGATTTGGTGCATACATAGTAAGATAGAAACAGAAAACTTACAATTACACTGAAGCCCGAGACAGCACAGAGAGAGATGGCAATGGCTGTGCTGGAGAGAGCAAGCTTTCCTAAGTGACCAACCATCATCATTGATATTATTTGTAGAAAATAATGCGACAGAGTCACAGCAACCATAGGACCTGCTAGATAACCAACCCTTTTCACCTCTCGACCAAACACACTCCATGCTATGCCTGAACCACCTTCTTCCACCTCTCTGCTCTTCTCCATGAGACTCTCTTCCATGTTCTCTCTAAGGGTCATAGAAAAGTTGCATCTTTTTGAGACTGACACAAAAAGTATTAAGAGTTATTGCGTTTTATATAGTAGTTATACGGCACAAGATTTTATGTCCCTTCGAATTATATTTGGAGTTTTATAGATGGAAAAAATCGTCTCCGATCAAGAAAAAACAAGAAGAGCAACGGCTTATTCTTTATTATCAATTTAATTTATAAAGAGTAAAAAAAAATTGTATCCTAACTGAGATCTTAAACCAGATACCTTTTGCTTTTTAAGAGAAGAGAATCCAGGTCACCTTTTTTTATTATTTTTTTTATTTTTTTATAATCGTATCTATTATATTTCGTCAAATATATTTTAATTTAAAACATTTTGGTTTTAATAGAACTTTAGTGCGTTATCATCGTTTAAAAACATTAAATAAATGATAATATATGATAAAATATAAATGATAAGATATATAGTTACTATATATAGTATCTTAAATATTCGAATATACAGCTAAAATAAATTTATTAAACTTAGTAATTATATCTTTATAACTTTATTAAAATTGTTAAAAATATTATTTCTAATAAATATTTTCTATACATAAGTTTACGTTATATGAATAGATCCGCAACTTCTAAATAAAAATAAAGAAAAATATATATTTCCTTCTCTATTTTTCTTTATTTTCTTGTCCTTGTATTTAAAATAGATAAATCGGGTCCTCAGAAATTTTAAAATATCGTAATTTCAATATTTTTTTATTAAACTTTTAATCTTTCGTGACTATCTTTTACCTAAATAGATAAACGGATTAATTATGATATTTCTTGATTTTTATACCTAAAATTAATATTCATTTACATAATAAAGATATCAAATTCATGTTCTATTAAACCTTTTTTATTAATTATTGAAAATAAAATAAAATATATTTTTACATAAAAAAATCATATCGTAATGATATATATATAATTTATCACAAATGATTATAAAATATCATCTATATCATTATTTTCATTATTATTATTATACTAAATAATCTAATTTAATTGATTATATACACCAATAAGTACAATTTAATGGATGATTTTTCTATGAATATTCTTAAAAAAATCGTTTTATAAACAATATGATGAATTATTTTCAATATGAATAAATTCATGTGTACAGACAAACTATAATAGAATACAATTAATACTATGTAAAAATGTTATTTTTCATAAAATATAAAAATATTGTTTATATCTTTCACTTTAAAAAAATTATATATATCATACACTGAAATAAAACACTTGTAATTCAATGTGATTTTTCATATTATATAATTAAATTTAAAACTAATTGAAACTAATTTAAAAAAAAATCTATTTGCTTTTTTTTGTTATTATTTAAGTTTAAATAAGTTTTAAATCCTATAAATATGATTTTTGTTCTTATCGTAAAACATGACTAATTTAAAACTAAAAATAAAAAGTATATAATTAAGGTAATTGGAAACATTTTAAATTAATAAATTAAATTTTGTTAAAGTATCAAAATTAATTAGGTAATGTATTTACAATTTTATATAATTATATAAAGTTATATGCATTTTGTATGCATGACTTCAATTTCTCTAGGAAGTCCATATACAAAGTTCTTTTCAACGAAATTCTAAGCACTCTCACGTAGCTTAGATGGTAAGATTGTGCAATCCTTAAATAAATATTCCTAATGTAGTCTATGAACCCAAATATCATCACTTGAAGAAAAGAAGGAAAGAAAATGTTAATCATATCTTCAATTAAACAGTTAAATTTTCAAAATGTTAATGTTTTAAGGAGTAAAATTCAAGCCTTAAATGAATCATTACATAAGCAATAATAAGAACAACGAGAAATTAAACAATAGTTACAAAAAAATTTATAAAGTAAAAATAAAAATAGAGTTGACAGACTAAGAATCGAATAACAATCTTAATGCAACACTTATGATTTTTTACATCTTTATATATCATCTTAACATAATAATGAAAATGATGATGATGAAGATAGTGATCATATTAAAAAATTTATTCTTTAATTATTATAATATTTAATTATTAAAGGTGATAATGAAATTGCAGAGAATTAAAAATATGATATGATTTTGAAAACAACAATAATTTGTTTTAATGTATTTTTTTTACAAGGTTTTTAAGTTTTAAATTATTTATATTAAATTTGATTTGTTTTGACGTTTTAATGTTTGAGTTTAGTCATTCACTTTTTTCATTTGAATTTATAGGATTAAAGATTTAATATGATTATGACAATGACAAAAATTTGGTTTGATGAATTTTAGACAACTTTTTTTTTTTAATATCCCTTTCATTGCATTGTTGGGATTAAAAAACTATGACAAATAATTTGAAAAAAATTTTAGTATTTAAAAATAATACTATAATTTGTTCTTATTTTTGTTACATGTTGAATGATGACACGTAATTTGTAGAATCTAGCTGTAATTCATTATGGAGATGAAAAAAATGTAATGGAACAAAGTTCTCTCTAAAAATGAATCTTATTTTTGAAGATAATACCATGTTTTTAGTTATGGACAATTTCATTTTATACATTTATGATAATTACATTCATATAATAATATTTTGTTTTGTTTTTGTTTTATCTTACAATTCATATAAATTATATTAATGTAAAACTAAATATTTCTCTTAAAAAACCTTTTCATATTAAATTTTGTTTTAGGTAAATTTTTTAATTGAATAAACAAACAAACTTTTTTTTATGATAATTTATTATGCAATAAAATAAAATATATAATAAAGATATTCTTTTGTCAATGTCATATATATATATATATATATATATATATATATATATATATATAAAATTTTAAATTTATACAAAATTTCTTATAAATTTTAAAATTAACAAGAAATGTAATGCGAATCTAAAATTATCAATAATTTTTTGTAAATTTAATTTTTTTACAAATTTAAATTGATAAAGAATCATATACAAATTTAAATTATAAGAAATTATATGCGAATTTAAATTGTAAAAAATTATATGTGAATTTAAATATATAAAAAAATACTTATAAATTTTTTCACATAAATTTTGTAGAATTTATTTAAAATATTAAATTCCTATATAATTTATTATCCACAAACTAATAACATACAAATAACTCATAAATTTTAAAATTTCCTCGTAGTAAATAAGGTAACTACGTCTAATTTACTTTTACATTTGTTGATTTTTTATATATCATAAATTGTTATTGTAATTTATTATAATATTAATCTACCCTCTCCATTTAATAACTTACTTTCAACAATTTAAAAATAATAATAATTTACTTTTATGCTTATAGTTTAATTTAATTACATTAATCTTTTTAAATTTAAAATTCTGATTGATTGTAAAGTCAATTTTTAATATATCATAAATAATAATTTTACCTTAATAAAAAAATATAAAAAAAATATTTGTTTTAAGACACAATTACTCTGTCAGTGTTTTGCTGTGATAAAAATTCAAATTAAAAAAAAAAGTGTTTATAATTTATTTATCTCATTTATTAACTGACGTGAAACTTTGGTTGTAGTGATTAAATAATGAAAACTTATTTTATTATTAGAGATAATTGTGTTAAGAACTATTTTAGGATGTAAATAATTACATGTAAAAAAACTTCATTTTTATATTTTTTTCAAAAATGATTTACTAAAAACTAGTTTATATTTGTTTTCGTCTGATTTTCATTACTAAACAATACTTATAAAGAACTTGTATTATATTTTATGACAATTCAAACTTTATTGCATAAAAGAATAATATGCATTTAAATTAAAAGAGACTTCAACTTGCTTTCTGGAATTTATTACATGAAAGGAGTGTTTTCGGAAAGAAAATATATAAAAAAAATATAAAATTGGTTTACTTTGCAATTTCATGGAGTATTTAGTAAAAGACGGAAACGAAATAGGCTCATTATTGATGTACACTATGGGTTTTTGAAGTTAGAATTATTTTTCTTTTTAATATACTTTTAATGTATATTAGGTTAGGAATCAAAATTAAATTCATAAAACATATATTCTCGTCCGTATTAACAGAAAAATAATCGAGTTAATCGAACGGGGAATAAATTTAAGTTTTTACAACTTGAAAAAATTGAGAATAAATACGGATATTCTTATTTATTTAAATTTAAATTTTAAAGTCTTAATATTTTAAAAATATTTTATTTTCTTTTTCATATTATATATAAAAAATTTATATTTCATACTTTTTTTACTTTTTTTTCTTTTTTTCAATCTTTTAAATCATTTGATTCATTGTATTATTCTATTTCTCTTATTCTTAGTTTATTTATAATTCCTTAATCTCTTAAATTCATTTAATTTTTTCAATCTTTTTAATAAATTTGATAAATATAAAATTAACTTTTTTTTCTTCAAAAATTCAATATCAATTTAATAATAATTAATATTATTTTATTTCTAATTTATCTTTATTAGATTTTATTATATCATAATTTATCTTTTTAATTTATTATATATCAAATTTTATATCAATAAAATAATTTTATTTTAAAGTATTAAAAATAATTAATAATTAAAAATATTTTCTTATAAATCATATATTTTATATTTATAAATATTTTAAAATAACAATTTAAAAAATAACTAACTTATAATCAAATTTTTGAATATGATGTTATTATAATAATAATAATAATAATAATAATAATAATAATAATAATAATATTTTAAATATTTTATATTCATATAAAGAAAAAAATATCAAATATTTATTTCACATGTATATTTTAATATAAATATAATAAATTAAAGTATATATTTAATAATAATAATTAAAATTTATAAAATTATAAATATTTATTTATGAATAAAAAATACATAAAAAATATTAATATAAATTTATTATAAATATAATTTTGTTTAGAATAATATAAAATGATGATGGACAGGTCGGGATATAAATTTAATTTCTTACCTTAATGAAAAGCAAGAATAAAGACAAAAATAATTAAAAATATCATAGACGAAAGTCGAAAGACAAAACTTATTCCAACATGTCGTACGTCAATTGTAAAATATTATTTATAAAATTAAAAATATTAATTAATTTTAATAAATATATAAATATATTTTAGTTGTTTAATAAAATTAATTTTATAAAAAAACTATTAATATTTTATCTATTGGAGTGTCAAAATAAAATATAATATATAAAACAAGTATATAATAGTATATTACATATGTAAATATAAAATAAACCAGAAATTCTTGGATAGTCACGCTTCCTCTCTCTATCTCTCTAACTATTAATATTTTTTCAGCTAAAAATTTATAAAATGACTTTTTTTAATATCAATTTATATTGAAGCAATCGATTGAATTATAGTTAAATTATAATATCAAACTAAATTTAAAACGCCCTTGATTTAGCATAAATTTAACGAAATAAATGGTTTTTCTTTTTCTTAATTTAAAAAAAAATTGAAAGAGTTATTTCCCTAAAAATAATTAAATAAAGCATATATTAAGATAAAATTTAAATATGCAGTTTTTAAAAATACTAAAAAGTGACAAATAAAACAAAATACATTTATAACATCTTTAAAAATAAAATTGTAAACAAAGCCAATTTTGTTTTGTGCTTAAAGTTGAAGGGCTGAATTGGAGGTAGGTTATGAAATCTGAAATTTTCTTAAAAAAATTGCTATATATTTTTCTAAATTTATATTTCTATGAAGGGGAAATATGGTAGAGTAATTTTAACCAATTAGGTTTTGAGTCAATTAGACCAAACTAATTATTATAAAAAAAATTATAGAAATTAACCATTCAATAACATAAAAAATATTACAACTCGTCACGTGTACCAAACTAAATAGTATAAAAGTTTCAAAACATTGGAACAACTCATATACCAAGGTATGAAGAGAAACCGATTTTAATGGATCTTGCCTCCGAATTTGCACATGCAAGTAGTATAATAGTTATTTAATCTGAAATATTTTTGCAATATATATATTGTTTGGTATATTATTTATTGAATTTAGTGTTAAATAGCACACCACAAATTCAATTAGTATTTACATTTACCATAGAACAAAAAATTGCAAAATTGGTTTGAGAAAAAGTAAAAAAATTATGTTTTACTTGTCATGTTGTGAAAACATTTTCCTTCACTGACTCAAAGTAACTGAAATTTGATCTTTTCTGCAACCAAAGCAATATGCTTCACCAACTGTAACTAAGCATGGAATCTTATCCATTTGCTTAGACTAATCCACCTTCTACGGAAGAACTTCTCTGAAATATTCTTTCCCTTGTTTCAAGTGCCTGCAATCACAGACATTCTAGAAATGAGTACAATTTAGTTAGTAATTAGTAGCACATAAGTGCTCTAGAAAAACTAGGTTAGCAATACACATTCAATCTGAATCTTAATAAGATTGCAATGCTGAATAGATTTTAACATTGTTGGAAGTGGAGGCAAACCTGTTTTTCCCAGTTTGTACTTGCTGTTATGAGAGATAGCATTACTGTTTGACAGAAGGCACCAGTCAGTATTCCAATCCACAACCCTTTTCCTTTTAATTGTACCCAGAAACCCAATATGGCACCAATAGGAATTCCAAAAACATAATAGGCTCCAAGGTTTATATATGCTCCCAAGTGTTGCCACCCGCATCCTCTAGCAATACCTGTAATGGACAAGTATTATATTTTATGGCACAAGTAACATTCCTTGCACAAAAAAGAGTGATGTGCATTGAAAAATAGTTCAAACAAGATCCAACCTGAAAGGGTAGCATGTAAGGAGTCCAGTATAACAGAAAGAATTAAGAGAGGAGTCATATCTGTGACAGATTCCACCACGTCCTGTTCATTGCTAAATACATAACCTAAAACCTTCCTGCTAGCAAAAAGGATTGAGCTGATCAGAATGGCCTCGGAGGCTGCAAGAGTCATGGCAGCATAAACTGATACTCGTGCTGATTGTGAATTTCCAGCTCCTAATGCATTTGAAACTCTAGTACTGAATAACAACCCAAAAGAGAGATCAATCAGAAAGAGAAAAAAAATAAATAAATAAATCCTTGCTGTATTATTACTACTCATGAATATGAATATACAGAAATTGACGAGGTTAGGACTTAAGTGAATCAAAACCTTGCTGCTGAGCCAATTGATTCTGGGATCGTGTAGATTGTTGTGATGATGTTTAAACTGGGCAGAAAACAGTTTACAACAAACCAAAAATTAGCATCACTTGTATGAATGGAAATCAATATTTGGCTATAAGTAACAATTTCAAAGCAGGTTTTACACACACACAAAATCCATGTCTAGAGGACTAAGATTAATTGTACATACCATATCGATAAGAGTGAAGTTTCTAGCTCTGGATTTGGTAGAAGACCAGAAAGCAAGAGTAGTAACTCAAATGACCACCATTCAAGGCTGCAACGATCAAAATGTATAAAACAAACCAAGGGTAAACATTAAAGAGGAAAGAAATGCACAACATTAAAGATTGATATAAGAGGAGGAAACTCACCAAATCATTCCAGCTGAAGGAATGGCATAGCGGATGAATTCTCCAATCCCATGGAATAGTTCCATTGAAATTGGGACTCGAGTCTTCTCACAATCAGGAGAGAATTTCATATATAATCCAAGTAATATCACATTGAGCCAGTACGAAGTACCAATAGACAAGGCTGCTCCTATGTTACCAAGTCCAGACTTAAAGACCATTAACCAACTTAGAGCCACATGGAAGCAAACAGTAATGGAGGAACTTACGACAAGGGGACTGATCAAACTTTGCATCAAAAAGAATCGAACCAAGGAGTGAAGTGGTGCGTAAGCAAAGAGAGCAGGGATCATGAACAAAGCAAATTTTCCAGCTTCTTGTGAAATCAAAGGGTCTTGCCCAAGTAAAATAAGGAGCTTCCCCAAGTTCATCCACAAAATAGTCAGAGGAACACAAGCTAAAGTAAGAGCGACCATAGCAGTGTAAATTTGAACACCAAATTTTCTGTATTCCTGTGCTCCATATGCTTGCCCACATTGAGTTTCCAGTGCACATGACATTCCAAACTGTTTGACATGTACAAAAGATAAAATGCAATTAATTCTCTGATCTCAAACATAATTCATAATAACTATCAAGTAACATGCATCCATTTTAATATCCCACAATAGTTGAAAATTTAACAGCACAGCCAAAATATAAAAACTAGCAGCTACTTTTAACCAAAAAAAAACAAAACATTTTCCCTCCTTTGATAAACGACTGTTTCATATTGATACCGTATAATAACATGAGAAGGATTAGGAAGACTTACAATGACACTGAAGCCAGATACAGCACAAAGAGATATGGCAATGGCTGTGCTAGAGAGAGCAAGCTTTCCTAAGTGACCAACCATCATCATTGATATTATTTGTAGAAAATACTGTGACAGAGTCACAGTAACCATAGGAAGTGATAGATAACCGACCATTTTCATCTCTTGTCGAAACAAACTCCATGTTATTATCCCTGAACCACCCTCTTCCTCTTCTCTGTCCTTCTGTAAGAGACCCTTTTCCATATCCTCTCCAAGGGTTGAGAAAAGTTGCACCTTGTTGAGACCAATACCGATGGTATTAGAACTACGCCGCTTAATATAAAAGTGGCACTCGTCAATCGCAGCAGAGGAACTTGTGCAACTCGAGGGTTCAGGTTGTGGTAGATAACTGCTTTAAAATTATAATAATGATAATAAATTATTATTATTATTATTATATAGAGTTATAGAATAATAATATATGAAAATCAAAAACAAGGTATATACACATCATTGTTCTAAGTTATGACGAAGGGAGGTGTGAACACTGTTTATTTAAATAGTGGCTTCATCGTATATTTCCATATTTAATGAACATTCCAACATAGATATTCGTACCACACAATATCTCGTTCCATATAAGGTAAGAAATAATATAATAAATCTCACTATTTCTTCACTTATTTAAAAAGTTATTTTAAATTAGCATAATATTTAAAAGCAAGAGAAGTGAAAAGGGTAACAAAACATATTATTTGGTGAATTTTATCATATCAATTTTTCACATATTTATTGATTAATTTTTTATTTTTTATATGGGTTATTACTCAAGTTTTATTTTATCAAATGTTATATATAACATTAATTTTTTTTTATCTATTTTATCATTATGCTATTGATAATGATAAGCTATTTAAAAAATAATATTATTTTGTTAAAATAACGTATTTTGCGAATGAAATAATGTTCTAAACAAATTGTCCAACCTAATGGGATAACCATTAGCAGTGTTTAGCATTATAACTGAAAAGTTTGAGAAATAAAATAAGATAGACAAAAAAAATACAACATGTTTAAGAATGAATTATATAGTTTGTTTCATAGAATAATAATAATTATTTAAATAAAATATATTATTTTATCAAAAAAAAAAATATATATATATATATATATATTATAAATTAATTTAATAAGATATTTATTTATTATAAAAACAATAAATTTCTAACAATTATTTATTTTTAAGATATAATAATTAATTAATATTTTAAATTAAAAATTGTTAAAATAAATTATGACAATAAAAATAAAATTTTAATTATATATTTTTTTATAATTTATATATTAAATTATTATGTTTTTAATAAAAACTAATTTTATTAATATAATTTAAATATTAAAAATATAATTTTTATTTTTTATTTTATTTTTAATCAAATCAAAATTAGTCTATTATCTCCTTAACTTAAGATTAGATAAAAATTATAACTCGTTTTTAAATACATATCAGTTCACGCCATCAGTTATTTTTTTAATTGACCTATAACTACATCAAGCTAACTTAAACCTACCATTTTGACAACAGGAGCACTCATTAATTTAGTTAAAATATTATCAGAGGATGAATTATATGTATTTTGGATTTAGTCGTAGATTTAAGTTGTTTATTGATTTTAGAAATAGTTTTAAAATTTTTAATTTTGTTTAGGAAGTATTTTGTTGAAATATTTTCTTACAATATATTTTTATTACTTTCTAAAAATATTTTTATATTTTTCAATAATGTGCATTTTTATTTATGTTTCTACTATATCACTCTTCATTAGGAAATCATAGTCTAATTTATAAAATTAAATTTTTAAACTATAAAAAAAATATTTCATAAATATTAAAGTCTATTTGAATTGTCTTAAATATTTTTAGGAATATTTATATTATTTTTCTTAGCAATTAAAGAGTAACAAAATGTTAAAAAGAAAACTTATTTACTACGTTGATAAAATACTCTTGGCTTAAATTCACTTTGATACTTCCCGTTTTATATATTTTATATATAATTTTGGTTCCTATAAAATTAAAAAAACATAAGAAATGTAAATGCTATTTTCTAAATATATGTTTAAATAAATAAATAATATATATATATATATATATATATATATTAAAAATGATAAGAGATATGATTATAATTTTATTTAAAACATAATACAAGTCAATGTTAATTTTAAAAAGAAGAAATATAAATATTTGTTCTAAAATTAGACAAAACGTGAATTTTATTTAATAAGTTCATTTTTCTCTTAATATGATATTAAAATAGTAAATCATAAAAATTAATTACCTTTGTTAAAAATATTTGCAATACAAATAAAAGTTACAAAATACCTATTAGCCACACTCTTAATATCAATTTGAATTAATATTTATTTATAACTTGTTTAAAATAAAAGGTATATATCCAGTGGTCATAAGTAATCTAAACAAATTATTTAAAAAAAAATCAACAGATTTTTTATGTATAATGATTTGTGGTCGGAAAGATGATAAAGCATTACTTCTTGTTAATTTTAGTTTTGAGGTAACTTTGTTCTGAATATGTTGGTCATGCAAACTTGCACTAACTCAAATTTAGTTGAATGAATAAGACAGTAACCATCAAGGATTGACAAATTCACGTTTTAAACAGCATAGTGGTAGACACTTATTTTTATCCTGTTATCATAACAAAAAATGCTCTGAGATCCCTTAATCAGATGCACAAAGGTTTCACAAAGCAAAGAACTCACTACACCAATATATTTTCTGCTGAAAATTGATCATCGAATAACCTCTTTCTTGCCTTTATGGCCTGCATAGAAACCAAGCAATTGAAACACAAATTAAAGTGGCTGGTAGAAGATGAATAAGCATAGTTGTTATGCTTCCAAGAGAAAGGTTAGAGCATTTTTACCTGCTTTTCCCAATTTATGGAACCGGTTATTACAGAAAGTAGAATAGTTTGAACAAAAGCACCACATTGTATACCAATCCAAAGTCCTTTTCCTCCCACTCCCACCACAAATGCCAACAAGGCAGCCACTGGAATCCCACAAAGGTAGAAAGCCCCCAGATTGACATAAACTCCTAAATGTTGCCATCCACAGCCTCTAGCAATCCCTGAACCAAAGCATTGTTAAATACATTGAGAGAAAGTTTTTCTTCCTCATAAAATTTAGGCTTTAAATAAGTTATAGGTACCTCAAAAAATTTAGGCTTAATTTTAGAGGTACCAAAAACTTACTTAACTAAAAAACATAGACAGGGGAAGGTTACCTGTGAGAACACCTTGTATGCTGTCTATTATAACAGATATACATACCAGAGGGGCCATGACGGTGACATAATCAACAACTTCCTTCTCATTGCTGAAAATATAACCATAAACATGGCGACAGGCAAAGAGTGTTGCGCTTACTATACTTGTCTCAATGACTGCAAGAGACATTGCAGCTAACACAGCAACACGGGCAGCATTTGCTTTCCCAGCTCCTAGTTCATTTGAAACCCTTGTGCTATAATCAGAGAGAACAAAGGATATTTAGTTTAGATATATACTCAAGGTAACATTTAAACTATGTAGAATGAATGTTATATGTCTATGATGTAACCTTGCTGCAGCACCAATTCCAAAGGGTATTGCATAAAGAGTTGAAATGGTGTTTAGACTGTAGAAAAATGACAAAAATTAGTTCAGTCACATTAACTTATAAAATCTCAAAAAGAGAAAATTGGAATGAAATTGTAGATCATGGGTTGCAGTTCAAAAGGAAACCCTAAAGTCTTATGTGGGTAAGAAAGAAAACTTAAAAAAAAAAATGTAACATAATTACCAAACAGATAGAATTGAAGTTTCAAGTTGTGGATTTGGTAACAGCCCTGACAGCAACACCATTAGCTCATATGACCACCATTCAAGGCTACCCTCATCAACATGAATACAAAAAATATGTCAAATACTACTTTGGGAAAACAGCACAAAACATTAAAGAAAATTTGTTGGACATGGAAACTTTGTCTAATCTGATAAACGAACATGTAAAATATTAACTGAACAGGAAGATTAATCACCAAATCATTACTGCGGAAGGGATAGCAAAACGAAAGAACTCCCACGTTCCTTTAAAAATCTCCAAAGAAATAGGTGCACGGGTTTTTGCACATGCAGAAGAGTATCTCATGTATAATCCAAGAAATATCACATTTGACCAGATTGAAATGCTAACTGCCAATGCTCCACCAACATTATTCAGTCTTGTTTTGAACACCAGGACCCAACAAAGAGGTACATGAACAGTGAGTGCGGCACAAGAACTTGCAAGCATGGGAAGAAGCATACTTTGGATTTGGAAATATCGAACTAATGGCTGCAGAATTGCATATGCAAAAAGTGCTGGAAGAAGCCAAATTATGAATTTCCCTGATTCATGTGAAATTAAAGGGTCCTGGCCCATGAAAACTAGTATGTTTTCCATGTTGATCCAAAGAACAGACACGGGAATACAAACCAATATAAGACAGAAAATGGCAGTGTATGTTTGCATTCCAACCCTTTGATATTGCTGAGCTCCAAAAGCCTGTCCACAAATAGTCTCTAGTCCACTAGCCATTCCCATCTGTTACCATATGTAAGTTATCAAGCACTGAGTTACAGGGGAAGAAAATAATGATAATTTTGAGCAGGATAACATGCTTTAAATAGGTGATGAAGAAGATAACTAATTACTAAACACAAGTGTTATGGTCAAAATAGTGTACTTTGAGAGAACGGTCTTATCTTATAAATTAGTTTTATAATATTGAATTAGATACATTACAGACAATTATTATGTATTTTTTTCTGTAATCAAATTAGAAATTACATTAAACTATTTTTCTTCAAGTTACAAGATATTCTCATAAACTATTCTTTTAAACAGTAAATATTCCCTGAGTTATCTTAATAAACTCTCCTACATGTTTGCGTAAGAGCTTATCTCATAACATGAGGTTGAATGCATACACGTATTCAAAAGTTGAGTAATTTATGTATGCAACAGAGTACTCTGTCATTTTTTTCAATATTAATATTCATATAAATAAGATAATAATGCAATAGAAAAGTAGAGCAAAAATCGCATTTTCCTGAGCTGCAACAGTCTCGCATGTGATGCTGCTTCTGATTGCGAAGTGCAATAATAATCTTGTTGGAACTCTGGTATAGCCAGTGTGACACAACAGTGATAAAAGAAAATGCTAATTTTTATAACTTTTAAACATTGAAAATGATGATAATCTACAGTTTTTACGTTTTATTTACCAGTTCTTCTCATCAATAAACTAAAAAATGTGTGTTAATATACTTTTTAATAATAAAGCAATAACATGTTATGGCATAATAAAATAAAACAACTGCAAAAAACAATAAATGGAAAGTGTGATGTGAGTATATATTTCTATAGTAAGTATCTTTCTGGCAGCACAATTATATGTCTTCCCCAGAGTGGTGGCCGTTATGAAAGGACAAACCCGAGTGTCACGTTGAATCATTAAAAAAATTGGTGTACGTCTCAATTGGCCGTTCACAACCATGGCAATTAATAACCAGGTTTTTGTTCATACAACGAGTGAATAAAATGTTTACAGAGATCAACAAAATATGATCTAAAGTAAATAAAATGATGTTTAAACCTAATAAGAAGAAGAAATTAATGAATAAAGTAGTGAAAGGAAGAAAGTGGTAGCAGGAAGGAGCTTACAAGTAAACTGAAACCAGAGACCCCTGCAAGGGAAATTGCTAAGGCGGCGCTAGAGAGATAGAGTTCACCCAAATGACCAACTATCATGATTGACACAACTTGCAACAAATACTGGGAACAAACCACAACCACCATAGGCCCTGCTATAACACTGATCCTTCTCATTTCTTCACTGAAACCACTCCATGTTACTCTTTTTTTCACACTTTCTTCTTGGTGCTTTTGTAGTAGACTTTCCTCCATGATTTTCTTACCTTCAATTCTCAAAAGGGTTGGAGAAAGAGAGAGAGAGAGAGAGGGTGGACGATGAGAAACTTGTGCTTTGGTTTCCTCTTCTTTTGATCGGTTTTCAATTTTATACACACAGTCTCTAATAAATTTAAAATAATCTTTCATCATAATTTCCTTTTTTTTTTTATATATATATAAGTATTAAATGCTATTAACTAATTTAAAATTATTGTTCATTCCAAAAATAATTGACCTTTTTTATTTTTCTACTATGACATTTCTTTTTATTTAACATAGTATCCAGCGAGATCCACGAGTGTCCACACAGAACCATGAAATTTAAAATTAACAGCCTGACTCTGCATTTACTTACTCTTCTAATCATGGTTAAAATAACCCATTTTTAAAACTATCTTGTCGTTTTGTTAATTAATCGTGTATGTTCTTTTTAATCTTGGTCTAGAAAGTTATTAAAAGTTGCATCTCTCTTCTTTCCATAATTCTGCTGCAGCTTTTAAAGGATAGAAAACTCGTGCGACATGTTTTATTAACTTTTGCCTTTCATTTAACATTAGCAGGGTCAATTTTCAGATACTATATTATCCAATGAATCCAACATAAAAAAAAAAAAAAAAAAGTATTATTAGGTATATGTGTTGGAATTTGCTTCTTCCATGTTAATAGCAGAGAAGTGAGAGGGAGGAGGACCACCACATCTTGTCTTCATATTGTCCTTATCATTTTATAATATCAAATAATTATGCTTCTTGTAAGGTTATAATCCATATGCAGATAAATATGCTTTTCATTTTGACCCTTAGCTTTAGTCCATTTTAACTTTAGAATCTCTAATCAAACGTTTCAATGGCTGGTTCTGGTTTTTGCTTTTGCCATCAAACATAATCATTTAATGAATGCCAGGTTTTATGCACTACTAATTATAATCACTATTTTTTCTCATATGGCTTTTGTCATTAGTCATCGGCATTTACTGAAAGGTTAATTTATATGCTTTAATGATCATATTTTTTCACTCCTTAATCATATTAAATGTATTGACTTATTTATAGATATTTCAATAAAAACAAAAATACATAAATAGATTTCAAGCAGAGACTTTTCAGCGTGTAAAAAAGTTCCATGATAGATAAGTAGGTCACATTCAGTACTCAAAGCCAGACCCCAGATGACCTGTTTCCACCAATCATGTCCCAAGGCTTTATTCATTCATTACCTTTTCTTTCAAACAAATTATTTCTTTTATGATATGACCCAACAAATAACTTGTACATTGTAATGTTATGTTTAAGTTACTTAGAGAAAGAATTAGTTTGAAAAAACATTAAAGCTGAGAACATAAATTAAAAATTGACATGTTAATAATGAAAGGGAATTTAAAAGATTAGAATAGTATAAATAAAATATTGAATGAGAAAAGTGGAAGATTTATTAGAAAATAAAAGGAGTAAATCAACACCAGATAATAGAGTGGAAGATAGAAGAAGGTTAACAATTGATAAAGGGGGAACAGAATAATTGAAGGAGCAAGAAAGATGAGAGAACCATTAGAAACAAGTTTCAAAATCGATAGAAAAGTAAAACGATAAGAGAAAATTGAGGAATTAAATAATCGAGAGAGAAAATGATTATTAAAAAAAAGTTATAAAATTGAAAAAAATACATCATATATATTAATAGAACCATTAAAAAAAGTAAAAATAATTACTTGAGAAAGAAATTGATTTAAATATTTTTATTTTATCTTGATTTTAATCTTTAATGATTACGCAAAATAATAAATATAAATAAAATTAAATAAGTACAAATAAAAGTGATCACAAATTATATGAATATATTTATATATTAAAAATCACTACCAGATGCTTTTAATAATTTGGATCATTATTCTTATTAATTTTATGTATCAATATCCTTTTTATATTAATTAGCGCTTTTCATTTTCTATAATTTAGATTTCCGACAATTTACTCTTTTTTCGCATTTTGCATTTTTAGCAATTTATACTTCTTATAATCACTTCTTGCAATTTCGTAGTAAGTTACACTTCTACATTTTAATTTTAATGTGTTGTTTTTAATATTTTTTCAATAGATTCTTATTAAGTAGTGGTTAAATGATATGTAAACTAATATTTAAAATTCAAATTTACAATAGATATTTTGTAGAAAATTAATTTACGAACGATTTACTATAAGAGTAAATTTCATATTAATTATTAAGTAAGACATTAGGTAATACACTAACTATGAATTTAATTAAATCACTTTTGAAATTGCAAAAATATTATTTATTAATTTAAACAAAATAAATTCGCAAATAATAAGTGATTTGTATCTGACAAGTTTTCTCTATAAACCGTTTACAACAAGGCAATGTTTATATAATACGCGCACATTATAAGTAAGCATAATGAGAAAAATTTTGAAGCAGTTGAGGTAAATATTCTTATTTGCACAGTCTGTTACATTCTTAGGGTTGCTGGTGTCCTTTTTCGCTACTTTTAGTAAATAATTTATGCTTGCAGAAGAAATGATGGACAATTAGAAAGTAATTTAAGAGAGAATTGAGTGAGTAGTAATAATATTAGCAATTGCAGTGGTAATTTTAATTTATGATTAATGTTAATGCAATAAGTGGTTACAAACTTAGAGATGTACAAGGGTTTACGTTAAGAACAATTTATATTTTTTTTCTTTTTAATTAATCGAAGTTTCTTTGAACAATAAAATTATAAGGAAATAAAACTTTAAAATAAATTCAATTATTTTTAATGATATAATATAACCATAAAAATAGAATATTCTGGTTTCTAAAAAAAAATATTTACTTCCAAGTTTGAAAAAGTGAATTAACTGATTGAGCTCCTGCTTCTCATTTATGATGATGGTCTTCTCCTACCACTCCATTGTTAGCTATTATCACCAAAAAATCTCTTTTTTCCTGCATTAGTATTTTGTAGAGCCACACAGTTGAAACAAATGCATATGGCATGGTACCTTTCAACAAAGACATTCAACACTATTAAGCAACAAATTTCTTGAATAGATTAAATTTATGATTCATTGATGTTGATGTTGTTTCTCTCCGTTAAATTTCGTCAAAACATCCAACAGTAATGTCAGAATCATTGCGTGGTGGTGAAGTATATATCAATTTATGCAACTTATTATGGTAGAAATGAAATACATTGTATATCAGTCCAAAAGTCCTTTCCCTCTCATTTTAGCCAAAAATGCCAGCCACGCAGTAAGAGTCCAGACAGCAAAATAAGTCAAACGACCACCATAGGTCCTGCTATCCGAATGATTGTTGCAGGATCGGGTGGGCCGATTCATGACCTTTTACTCTTAATTAAAAAGAGTTTTCTTTTGATTAATAGTTATAATTTTTGTATAATAATAAACACTCTATCCTAATAATTAGATCACGAGTTTAATTTTTGGTAGTTAATTATTAAAGGAGAGATTGTTGTGGGTTGTACAATTATCCTGTAGTACAGGCCAGATAGACCAAGTCTCATTCGGTGGCACAGGCTAGAGGAATAAAGTCACAATTCAAGTAGGATTTTTCGTAGGACAATTACTTTTAGAGAAAAATCATTGCAGATAACATTAATTGTTATGTGACAGAAGCGGGATGAACCGAGTCACAGTTAAATTGTGTTAATGATAAGCTCTCGATCCTACAAAGAACGTTTTCATTTCTTCACCAATACCATCCCTTGTAACTTTCTGCTTCTAACTTCCTTTTGCTAACAAATTCTTGTTCTCTTTCGTTCTGGTTACCACCAGATTTGAGTTGGTATGAAAGACCTTTGACTCTGCTCTCAAACAATCATACTATATATATATATATATATATATATATATATATATATATATATATATATATACACACGGACATTCTTTTTCTCTTTAGTCAAGGCTGCGTCCACAAAGATATGACAATGACCAATCACTTTAGTAACTGCTTGTTTGTAAAATATAAAAACTACTTTGGAGTTTATATCTAAGAACATGAAAACATGTGCCATAGAATGTTTTCACTATAAAAAAATTGACATGAATCATTAACTGATTTAACTTCAACAATGACGACTAAAGGTTGTTATTCAACTAAATAAAATCCAACTCATTGAAAACGAAAACATGAAGTTATGACTATGAGCAAATCAATCTGGAACCTGAATTTTGGCTTCCACCCGGTGTGCAGCGAACCCAGATTTCAAGTCACATGAAGCAAGAATTGCAAGAAAAAATGGATTGGGAAATTGATTTTGAAAATGCATGTGGTCCCTCTGATCGTTCGTTCGTTCGTTCGTCGACCAACACTGGTGGTGGCAGTGTCGCGCTCTCATTCACTACATCAATGACAACCAATTCTATTTCACTCTCCAGTTTGATCCAATGAAAACAATGTGTCCGTTGTGCAGTTGCAGTGGGCCACTCTGAAAATTTTGGCAAGGTTATTAGGGGTTAAATAGTAATTCATCATGTGGATTTGTCAAAAATATATATATATATATATATATATATATATATATATATAAAAACATTCAGAGTCAAATTTAATCTACAAAATTCGTATCGAATTATTGTAAAAATATTTTCTTATTATTATTATTATTACTATTATCGTTAGAGATAAATATATTAATTTCTCAAAAACAATGGATAATTATATATAATTTATTGTCCTAATAAAATTGTGAAAGAAAAATTGTAAATTACTATTTTATATTTTGGGGTTTTATGATAAGAGTAGAAGAAGACTTATACTTGTTCCCAAGTTATGTAACTTATTATGGTAGAGAGTAAAATACATTGAACAAAAACACCATCTTGTACACCAATCAAAAATCATTTTTTCTCTAAACTTTTGATACAAAATAAATTATCAATTTAACTTTGACAAATAATTAAATTTGAGACCTCAATCTAGTACAATGAACTTATTTCATAATAAAGGTGATAGATTTAGCTAATTTATTC